CGCGGTGGCTGAATAATTAATGCGGCCACTCAGTAGCACCTTGATGTGGGAAATCAAGGTGTATGAGTTTGAAACCCGCAGAGAATACATTAAATCTGAAACTCAAGCACCTCAGGTTTCTAATAAATACAGAGATGTATAAATTGCTTCAATAAAATTGCTCTATGTTTCTGAGCTGAGAAGTTATTATTGTATGTATCTAATTGTCACTTCTTTGTATTTTTCTATGTTCTGTTATCTTGGCATGATCTCAACACCTGTATTTCCTTCTGTATAATTAACACTTAATCTGTATTTAACATTATATAAGAACTCATTATAAGCTCTGCTTGCATATGAGTATAATGAAAGAATAATAATAATAATAATAATAATTCAAGAACTTCTCAAGAATAAAAAACTTTTCAATTTTAATATTTTTATAAATAATGTTTAATTACTGTTAAGCTTCTTATAAGTGTCTCTGTAACTTCTCTGATTACTTTTTATCAGCTGATGAAGCAGAGATATTATTATCTATAACAGAGTCTTCATCTCTCTCAGATCTGTTACTGCACTCAATCTTCAGATCAGTGATTAATTCTGTGTCTTTCTCAGACTAGTCTCTAACTCTCAGTAGTATAGTTCTGCTCTTTACTATAAGTCTTCTTATAAGTAATTTCTACACACTCTAGTTAACAGTTTCTACAAAGCTTCTAATACTGTTAGTACTCTCTGTAGCTCTGCAGGTCTACAATCACTCTCTTTCTATTCACACAATCTCTGATCAGATATATGTAAATATATCTAGATTTTCTATTAACAGTTCTTATACTACAGTGTATTTTCACAATTCTGATATTAATAGAAGATGAGTTTCTGAGTATCTGTAAAATTCAGATAATCAAGATAATATAAATACTATAAATTTATAACAGAAGTTAATTTAAGTAGATAAGCTCTCTCTCTACATTTCAATAATTTCTGAGCTGAATACTTCAGTACAACTGAGAAAGTGAATACAGCTTTGTAAGAAATATCTGATAATATATATAGATAATCAGTCTTCAAGATTCTGCTATAACTGTATACACTTTGATGTTCAGCTCTTTTGAAGTCTATATATTTTTAACAGTTTTTATATCAAATGCAATAATTATCTGTGTCATAGATATGATACTCTCTACTTCTTTAAAGAGAGAAATTAATAGTCACAGAGAGATTAAGTATCATAGATATTAAGAATATAAGTGTGAATTTTCTTTGTTTTTTCTTGTTTTTTCTTTATTAATCTCTAAATTATATTTACAGCTCTGTTTTTGTTTTTCTTTATTTTTATCTTTAATAATAACATGATTTCTCCTTCTCTTTGTATACACTGCAGACTATGCTGAAAATATATATAGAAAATTATATATAAAAATATACAGCTAATTCTGTGATATTTATTAAGCTTAATAACTCACTTAGAATATGAAATCTTGAGTGAAGACAGATTCAGTGAGCAAGCAGTCATTAAATTAGTAAAGCTTATAATATAATCAGATTTCTTCAGCAGTGAATTCATAAGCACTCTGACAGAGCTCTGAAAACATAATTTAATTACTCTTTGTAAAATCAAGAATCTACTTTTCTGATTAGAAAGATGATTTTTGAATTCTTCAGTCTTTTTCTTATTTAACTATGATTACTACTGTACAGCAGAAGAATATCAAAGCTGATAATTCATCTGCACTGAGTTTCTGCTCATATGAATATTCATGACAATGAATTGGCTGATTCAGCTGCAAAAAAGAGTTCAGAATTAAGTAGATCTATTTAAAAAATTGTATCCTGGTCTTTTATAAAGAGAAAGATAAAAGAATCTTATTTAGACAAGTGAAATGAAAGCTGGCAGAAACAAAAGAAGAGTATACATTATTCAAGATTTGAAACAAAACTCAAGTAGAAATCTTGTTTAATCAAATGTAAAAAGAAAATATTCTCATCTATAATACAGCTGAATCTAGAACATGGTCATTTCAAATCTTATATGCAAAGATTTGATGATAGATTTGATTCAATAGAATGCTCATTCTGCAATACAAATGAGAATTCTAAGCATATTGTAATACACTATGCATTATACAATAGTCTCAGAGTCAGATTGAAAGAGAAGTATGATCTAAATCAATTAAATATGAGATTCTTATTCTCAACTGAGATAGGAATTAAATACTTAATAGACTTTCTATCAGAAACTTAAGCAGCTACAAGAAAATGGCTAAATTCAGAAATATCTGAATATGAAGAGGAGGAAATTGATCAGATATAGTCTGTTAAAACAGTTATATACTATCTTTTAATAATTTGTTTTATTACAGTCTCTATTTACTTTACTTTTCCTTTCTATTCTTTTCTATCTATCTATTTAATGTGTCTATCTTTAAGACTATGTTCTCTTTTCTTTTGTCATGATATTGTTAAATAGTTTCAAAGTATCAGAAGATGTTAAAATTTTGCAATTTGTAAACAGTTTTTATATTCTGAGCTGGAATTTTCTGATTTTGCATATCTGAAATTGGTGAATGTATAATAGTTAACTTTATAGATATATGAAAATTCCTGAGAACTAAAAGTTCTCAGATAGATGTCATAGTCTCTGACTGCATATATCTATAATTGAAGAATAATAATAATAACTGTACAGTAGCTTATTCTTTCTTTTCTTTTTACTCTTAAATCTTTCTTATATCTCTAAGCTTCTTTTCAATCTGTTATTGAGCAGCTTTTGCAGTTTTATTCATATCTTTTTACTGCTTTACTATCTGATAAGCTGTCTCTCACTTTATTCTCTTCTTCATAATATCTGTCTTCTTCTGTTTCTTAAGAATAGTGTGTTATAACTTGATATTCTTCTTACAAATTTGCTTATTCTTTTTAACAGCTTCAGAAGTTGTTATTTTCTCATATATAATTTATATCTTTGCTGATGAAAAGAACTGTATTAATGATAAATTTAAAGAATCTAGTAATCTCATTACTCTGTCATACTTGTAATATCTTCTCTCTTAATTAAGAGCTTACTATAGCTGTCTATTCTCTATTAGAAGAATCTTTTTATCAAGAGTAAGATTTTTTCTTATACAGATTATCTAATTAAGATTACTAGATATTTAACACTACTACTACTTAACTTGCTTCATCAATTTCTGTATATTAATAATAGAAGTAAAGATTCTTAATTAATATTATATATCTAAGAGAGTATAAGACTGTATTACAAGCTTTTTAAGAACTTATTCTAAATTGAATGAATATAGACCACTAGTAGTAAATGCAGACATAATATTTAAAGATATAACTATCTTCTTTCATACAGTATTAAATAGCTGTTAAAAAGATCTCTTTATAGTGTATATGAATCTCATTTCAGTTCTCATTTATTCATTCAGTTAATTGAAGTATAATTTACTTAATAATTCAAATATTTCAACATCTAGTAACTGTAATCAGTGTGTAGAATAGAGAGAAAAGATAGTAAGTAGAATTTAATAATAATTTATATAATTAATAAATGCTATATTAATATGAGATAAGTGATTATTTAATATAAGAAGTTTATATTTATATTCTATTTTCTTTTTTATAAGAGATTCAAAGATCTTCTTTAACTATATTAATTTATATTTATTATTACTTTATTTATTTTCTGAAGCAGTAAAGTAGGTCTCATTCTTTTCACTATTAAAATTCTTCAGTCAAGTATCTTATATATCTCTTGATTCTTCTTAATATATAAGAGTAGATGAGAGTAAAGTTTCATTTATATAAATTAAAATAAGTAGTATTATGAATTCTCAACTGTTATTCTAACTAATATCTATTATATAATCTGATTTAAGTGAAGTAATTAATATAATATATTTGAGAGTGTGAATAAGTTCTAATAGAAATTCTTTCTCATTAAAGTTATAAATATTTATGAGTTTAATATTATATTGAGTGATTTTTACCTGTAGCTATAAATTAATTAGTAAGAAGTAAAAAATCAGTAGAAGAAAGAAATCAGTAGAAGAAAGAAATTAGTAGAAGAAAGAAATATATTACATGATTAAAATAATACTTGAAATATATTGAATTATCTACAATCTTGCATTTTTAATTAATATTTTGAAGATAGAGTAACTTGATTACATTCTTATAATACTAACAGAATTATAGCACTTAGTTAATTTCAATAGATGCTTTTAGAATCTCAATAATAAGATTATGAAGAATTTGAGATATACAAGAAAAACTGTGATCTGTTAATTAATTAATATAAAAAAGAAGTCATTCTTCTTACAAATCTGTGAGATTTTTACAGTGAATAGAGCTTGCTTTCTTTCTTAATGTTTGAACATCTCTATAACACTATGATAATGTATATCAACTGATTCCATATTTTTTAGCAGTCTCAGTGTAATTAGAAATCAATTGCATGTTCAAATCATCAATTGCTGCTTGTATAACTGCTTCATGGTGCATGTTGTGGGTGTTTGAAGATGAATGAAAAAATGAAGATTGGGCGGGCTTTGGGTGGTTGATTACGTTACTACTACGGCTACTTTTCCTAGTTCGACTTTTCATGGATGTAATCAATCTCCTCCACAAACAGAATGAGCGCATGAGCCTGAGAACCCCGCGCACCCCGCTCCAGCTCAACTTGAGATTTGGCACAAGGGCAAGCTTCCAGGCTTCATTCAGCTCTACTTCAAAACAAAGGGAAGCGAGCGCTTCCAAAGATTCCGTCCCTTTCTTTGCTGATCGCTGAAAGCTAAAGCTTGTTTGTCTTTCATTTCTGAATGATGATGGCGGCTAGCTCTGCGATCACGCTTCAACGATTCCCGACCACCCACCAGCTCTCTGCTAGAGATACAGAGATGAAACTTGGAGATAATGAGCTGCTGAGGAGGTGCGAGACACAGGAAATGTGATCGGGTAGAGGGCGCTCTGCGTATTATCGTGCGTTGAAGGAGCAGATGGGTATATACAGTCAGAGCACTGAAGCAGACAAGCTCTGTATTTTATTTATTTTCATTATAAATTTTGAGAAGATTTTCATGAAAGACATTAAATGAGAGCTTTTAGTTCATAGAAAACAGCATTATCAAGTCAATGCAACTTATTTTCAGAAGATTGAAAATGTATAAACAAAGCTGTTATTTCCTCAATCATTATTTTAACTAAGCAAACTAATCGACGACCTCACAAAACTCCAGGAAACTGAGATCCGAAATATTATATAAAAAGATAAATAAGTTATATCAGTCGATTCCCCGGATCACATTCAGCTAAATGCTCAGCAGAGTGAGAATGAATCAGAAAAGTCCCTAGTGCATATCCCAAGAAACGCTCCGGCGACACCGAACTGTAGCAGAAGGAGAGATCCGGAACAGATATATCAAGAAATGGAAAAGGTGAGCAATCATTTCCCCAAACTCACCACGGATCCGTAGTATTATATATTCCAACTTGAGAAACCCAATTCAACCAAATAGAGGTCGATGCCAAAAGAAAAACACTAAAAGAAGAATAGGTTATGTATGTCTCACCGGCGGCTCTCCCATATTCATATACTAGCATACACCCCACTCCACTCCACTCCACTCCACTCCCCTAGTTAACCCTAACCCTAACCACATTACCTCTCCAGCTAAAAAATCTTCATCTTCTGCTTCTTAATCCTGGCCCCAACCCCTGCCAGCACCAGAACGGCGGCCACCAACACCGCCCACAGCTTAATGTGTAACGTAGTCATATTATAATCTGTCTGGGTCGCTGCCGCCACCGTCGCCAGCTCCAACACAAGCAGCACGTATCCACTGACCCGGTGATACTTGTAGATCTTTTTGCCATTGTCCACACTCCCGAAGGCAAACGTGGGGTAGAAATACTGTGCGGCGCCCACAAGCGCCTGCAGGAAGATGAAGATGTAGGTGATGAGGCCCATGATGCCGTGCACGGAGTGGAGGCGGTACTCGGGGTGCGGGGCTTTTGTTTATTTCGATGATGATGAGGGCGGAGACGAAGCAGAGGTTGGCGACGGCGAGGAGGCCGAAATGGGCGAGGGTGCCGCTGCGCTTTTGAGCGGGGGTGTGGGTTGGCTGGAGGATGAGGATGGCTTGGGTTGTTAGGAGAATGGCGGCGGAGTTGAGGAGCTGGAGTTAATTATTTTTATTATTTTAGAGGCTGTAAGTCGTAGGATATATAGATGGCTCGAAGGAGGTAAGGTGGCGAGTGCTTGCTTACCGGGTGCGGGGAGAAGAATATGAGCTCGTGGGAGAAGACGCCATTCCAGACGAGAGCGGCAAGCTGGATATCGCAATGTCTAGTTAGAGTACGGGTTGTTTTCTGGCACGTTGTCGTGATATATCCCGTATCATCCTGTACTCACTATCCAAATACCCGCTTGGGCAATAGTTGCCGAGCCTGTGTGGACATTATCAGCGTACTCTATATGATTAACGTCAATAGCTATGTTTCGCTGCTGGATCACTTACCTGTGACCAAATTTGTCACCAGCGCCTGGCCTTCCTTCTGGCTGACATCTCCTGGCCTGCCCAGCAGAGGCTCCTGCTCATCGTTCCCGCCGATAGCTACGGGGCTCTGTTCTGGGATCCCGGTTGCAGAGGCCATGATATGTATGTAATGCACGATATAATGTTTATGATGCTGCTAAACAGCAAACACAAGAAAAAACCGTATCTGAATGAGACGGTTACGGAAGACTCTCTGATTCTCTTCCAGACGACAGATGCTTTTTATCAACTATTGTTGTTGAAGGTGGTTATGAACAATGGCGGGGTGTGAGGTGAGACGGGCAAGACTCAATATTGAGTTGACCTTGAAGCGAGAATCAGCACTTGCGCAATTGGCCAGCTCACGATTGGCCGAGACTGTGAACGACGAAGGCCTCTTCCAAGGTTTGTTCGACTTGCCTGAACCTGCAACTAGTTAAGCATCAACTCTGGGGCCACTGGTCTAGCTAAGTTGCAAGTGACCCGCTAGAGACCGCTAGTGACCCGATAGTGGGCGATGACATCAATATGATTCATATATATAGTGTAATTAGTGTAGGATAGTTGAAGGTTGTATTGATAGATCTATCTACAAGAACATAATATAGTGGTGGGTCACGTGATCTAGTGGGATTGCTAACCGCAACAGCTGTAAGGGCCAACACCCCCTCTTGAGATAACAAGAATCACATACAAAAACACCCAAATCACTAAGATAGTCTGTCAAAATCAAATACAAATGTAAAATTAAACATTCCCAACTTTTACATCTGTAAGACCTAGTAAAATCATGAATCATGTAAATATCACAGTGTCTAGAGATTTAGTAAGTTCATTCATTATTATCTGAGTAGTAAGAATATATTCTAAATTAATAACTCTCTGATTTAACTGTCAATATGAAAAATGAAAATACATGTTAATATATTTACTTCAGACTGTAATGACTGTTATCTTTATAAGATCTATGATATTCTTATTATCAGTGAGAATCTGTATCAGAGATGTAGTAATAAAGTCAAGCTCAATTATAAGATTCTAAATTCATGTTATCTCATAGACTGTCTCACTAAGAGCCACATATTCAGTCTTATTAAAACTTAGAGATATATAAGATTGCTTTACTGAATATCATGAAATCAGGTTATCTGTGAGCTTAAAAATGTAGTCAGATATTGATTTTCTATTATTATTCAAGAGACTGACTTAATCAGAATCTGAGTAGCTGAAGAATAGATAGAAATCATCAAGAAAATCAGAGATAATGAAAAGATCAGTAGAAACAGAAAGATTAATAGAAACAGATCTCTTATATAAATCACATTTATAGAAAATACTCAGATTCATGATCTCTTTTAAATAATATATAATATGTAATAGAGTCTTTCAATATTGAGATATTAAATCAATGTTCTGTTAAGTGAGTAGTGAGATAGTATAAGTAATATCAGAATATATTTTAACTGTAAGATATTGTAAGTAACTTATATTATATTAATATCACTGAATTATGAAATCAGTCTCTTTCTTAGATATAGAGAAATTATTAATATAAAATTCATTCTTCATTGATGTTCTGACAACAGCTGTATTATCAAGATAGAAATCTTTGATAAGATATTTAATATATTAATAATATATTAAATCAATTCTCTTATCTGAATAATTAATCTTCATACTTAAATACTTAATTGACTGATGTAGATTCTTGACTTTTAATTTCTTACTGAGTATACTCACTAGTTAATCAGCATTCTCAGAAACTTCAGATATAATGTTAAGATCATTAACATAGATCATTATATAGAGATGATATCTGAATATATAATATTAAAGTACTGAATTATAGACACTGACTGTAAATTTAAGATTACTTAACAGAGCTATTAAGTAATTATATCAGATCTTCACTGCAGAGTTCAGACTGTATAGACTATTCTCAATTATATAGACAAGTGTTTTCAGTGAATCTATTTCAAATTCAGTGAGTTATCTTATATAGATCTTCTTAGTGAGATGCTTATATAGATATATTATCACTATATTCACTTAACAGAGTGTTCAACTGCAAAGTACTGCTATTATAAAAAGAATACAATTGACAGTATCAGTGATAACAGAAGCATAGATCTCTTCTCTAGAATTCTTCTTAAGTCAGTTATTATAAATTACTTAATATAATTTTCTAAGAATATCATCAGAATCAGTATTCAGATCTGCAGGCCTATCTTTCTCAAGAAACACTTAATAATCTAAAGTAATTGATTCACTTCTTAGAATATCAGATTTAGAGATTAAACTTCATGTATTATATCTCTTCAGATTGATAATCTTATGTTGTATGAACTTCTTTTAATAATCTTCTATTCTCTCTAGTCAAGATGTGATATTCTTGTAGAACTTTGAGAGATTATCTGTAATAAGACTTGAAGTGTAAGTAGTCAGTGATTTCACAGGCTGCAATTATATGAAATTCAGATTATCAATATTAAAAGCATCTTCATTATTAACTAGATAAATATCAGGTTTCAGTTCAATAACATGATTAATGAGTTTCACAGATGTAATAATCAGTTTTTCAGTGATTGAAAACCTCACATCACTACTGACAATAATCTTATCAGATTCAGAATGTTATAGACAATATATCAATATGTCACTGAATTCAATGATATGATAGAAATCAGCATATGAAGAAAGCTTATTCACAGGCTACTGAGATTCATGCAAGTGAATAAAAATCTCTGCACTTAATTGATGAAAATGTCTCACATTCAGCAGAGTATTCATAAGTGCATATTAAGAAATCTTATATGAACTTGAAATTACAGAAGTCTCTGTAGTAGAGAATCAAAATTTCAAGTTATAAAGAACTATAAATATAAGAGTATTATTAATTATTACAATCACTGTCTCTAGAACATCTACTTAGAACTTCTTAGAGAGATTTTCTTTCAAAAGAGCAGCTCTAACTCATCTTATAATAGTGCAGATTTCATATTCAGAAACATCATTCTGATATGATAAATATAATACTGTTGATTCTTATTTGATATCATATGAATTCATAACTGTGTGTATACATGTGAATTGAAAAACATCATCAATATCAGTTTATAGAAAAGCAGAGACTGTATATCTGAGATTATTCATGAATCTGAGTCATAACTCAAAGTATTGAACAGTCTTATTCTTGAACTTTAAAAAATATACTCAACAGTAGTGAGTCATATTATAGATAATAAGTATTTAGTATCTGATTTTCTGACAGAACTCTAAGAGATAATCAGAGAGATCTTTCAATATATATTCATTATCTATAAGATTAATATGAATCTTCTCAATGAGTTGAATAGATCTAGACATCAGTGTTTTTGAATAATCTTGTATTATATCTATCTTGACACATTTCTCATAAAAGAACTTAGTCTTAGAATCTTTAATTATAACTTCAGTATGAGAATTCTTGATCATAGTAATTATAGCATCAGTGTGAATGTGACTGAGATCACAGTATCAGTTCAAAAGAGTCTTTGATATTCTTGTATTCTTGAGACCTGTATTTAAGACTGTAGAATCAATGTTATTAACAGTAGTAATAGCAGTCACAGAAAGATCAACTTTTCAGTTAAAATTATACTTATAAGATATTATTACAATATACTTGACTGCTCTGTTCAGATGATTGAGATTCTCATTAAACTCTTACTTATCAATCTTATATATATTGTTCTAAGTAATCTGAACTGTATGAAAAATAACATTATTCAGAGCTCTGCAAATGAAAAATGAGAGAATAGTGAAAGATAATATAAATCAGAATCTCTGATCTTCAAGCTTTATAAATAAGAGCAGATTAACTGTAATATTAAAAATATAGTGAATATTCTGTAAGTTAATATCATCACTCTTAATCTTCAAGATAATAGTCTCAATCTTCTTAACAAACTTAGTTCTCTCAGTGATAGAATCAACAGAGATGTTATCATTAAAAGACTTAATATTTGAAAAAGAATGAAGCTTATCTATTATATTCAGACTTACACATGTATTCAAATATCAAGATTTAGAGAATGATTTTTCAGTGACTGTGAAAGAGAAATAGAACTTAATCTTTGTAATTGCTATATTTACTGCTGATTAAGAACTTATTAAGTCATTCTTCTTCTCTTTCTTCTTATCATTCTTCTTATCATTCTTCTTTTTCTTTTTATCAGAGTGTAAGATGAAATATCTATCAATAGTATATTCATATCTTCTGCAGTGAGTGCACTTTTATACAGATGTGCTTTTATTCTTATCTTTATTCTTATCTTTATTCTTTTTCACAGTCACAGAATCAGTCTGAGACTGCTTTTTTCACTCAGTAATAATCTTCTTAAATGTACAATTAATCAGTTACTTCATTAAATCATTGATATTAATATTAACAATGAGTCTCTAGCTAGTGAAGAAAAACTTATTCAAATATATTTTAATAAACAGTCTTTGATAATTCTGCAGATTGTTAAGAAAAAGATTATAATATATATTCTCAGTGCTCTGACAGAGCTTCTTATAATAGATAATAAGATAGTGAAAATATCTCTGAAAAGTAAGATAATCATTCTTCTTGACTTATAATTTTATCAATTTCTTAAAGATATTAACTCATTCTTCTATCAGTGATATTATATATTTAATATTAATCTTATTTCACAGAGTCACAGTATTATCAGCTTTCAAGATTTTAATAGTGATTCAAACATTTTTAATAAGACTTGATAGTATATATCTATATAGAGACTTAAAACAGATTCTTTACTTCTCAGAGTCAATATAACATATAAAAGAGAATTCTTATTAAATTCTTAATAAAATATTAATTTTATTAATAACTTCTATATCAGTTAATATATCAATATATCAGACTTTATAATTAGAGTTATTAAATATAATCACTGATTTAATATCTAGTATATATTTAACTTTCTTCTGATATTTCTGCAACTTATTTCTTATAGTATTTCTTTGTATAGAGATAGATATAGTAAGATATTAAGTGATTTCAGCTATAGTTATCTGATTCTGTAGTATTATCTGTATAAGATTTATAAGATTATCTACAGTGTAATAGATAGATTAATTCAGATTATTATTAAAAGTTAATATTTTAGAAGTAAGAGATAGTGAAGAATTTAATAAATTGAAATGAATAGATTCTATAGATAAATATTAACTCTATTTTTCTTTATTCTGAAGTTTCTTCATTATCTCATTATTAAATTTCATACTCTGATAAAAACTAATCTCAGTCTTATCTTATAAGTCAGAAGTCTTCTTATAATAAGTAATTATTCTATTAATGAGTTATTTAATGAAGTGTGTGATTCTGAGTCTTGAGCTGAACTCTGAAGTAACAGATATATTACTTATATCAAGATAACTCTGCTTCTTTTAGATATGTAAAAAAAAAAAAAGTGATATTCTTTATAATGAAGAATACACTTTCTTAAAAATATAAAGTATATAAATCTACTAATCAGCAGATTCAGAGAAAATGAAATATCTCTAATAAAGAGTAAGAGTCTTTTCAAAAAAGATGAACTATTCATGTCAAAAATGTTGATGCAATATTCTAAAAAGAAAAATATGCCATTCAGGCTATAACCTGTAGAATAGTTGAAGATTGTATTGATAGATCTATCTACAAGAACATAATATAGTGGTGGGTCATGTGATCTAGTGGGATCGCTAACCGCAACGGCCGTAAGGGCCAACAATTAGTTACCGGCTTGCGCCAAGTGATGCTGAAGACTTTAATATTTATTATATTAGTAGAGTAGTAGTTAGTGTAAATGATCAAGACTCTCCCCAAGCGGTAATATTAAAACCGAATTTTAGTGTAACTAAAGTGTCTGAAGACTGCTCTGCCATCCGCGAATAGACCCTTTTTCGGGCAATTCTCTTTTGGACTCCATGTGCGAGTTGCAGTGGTTGTTCGCGTGGGGGAATGGTTGCAACAGGAAAATGGCTTCAAGCCCAACTTCGACCACAATTCGTCGGCGACCTCCGCATTCCAATTGAATTTGTACGTAACAAGATATGAGGAAATATACTCTTTTCATCCAATTCCCTCGTACTACCCGCTCGGTGCCGCCCCTTGTTTTCCCTGTTTGAGATGTATAAAGCAGGCCAGCTTCCTCGCGTCCATATATATCTATCTATCAATCAACGTGGGCAATTGTATAAACTATATAATAAATAATATTTAAAGGCTTCGGAGTAGTTATCCACTTGCCCCGCATCTGCCCGCCCTCATTCTCTCAATTTTCTTTAATCAATCCTTATCTAATATTTCAACCAAAAATCAAAAAGAAGAAGAATAAAAAAAGAAAAAAGCGAAGACAAAGGAGAATCAGAAACAAAAGTAGATAAAAAATACCAATCAAGATGGAAACCCACAAAGATAAAACTATAACCCCCCTCACCACCGCTGCCGATATCGACAAGACCTTCTCCTCAACAACTACAAACCTCGCCTCCTCCTCTCTAAACGCCACCATCCTCGCCTGTTCCGACGAGTACTTCGCCGCAGCCTCAAACCTCCTCACCCCAACCCCGCCAATCCACCGCCCTGGCGTCTTCGTACACACAGGAGCCTGGTACGACGGCTGGGAAACCCGCCGCCACAACCCGGAAGAATTTGACTGGGCCGTAATCAAGTTAGGCGTCGGCAGCGGTGTCGTCGTTGGCGTGGAAATCGACACGGCGCATTTCTACGGCAATTACGGCGAGAGTGTTCTTGTCGAGGGTACTCACATTGATAAACGGGACGGTGCGGAGGCCGGGGACGCCGAGGTCGTCAAGCCTACTTTTAACGGCTGGACGACTATTCTGCCCAAGCAGCCGTGCGGGCCTTCGCGGCGCCAAGGCTGGTTGCTATCTCGCCCCTCGGACCCAATTACTCATGTACGCGTCAGGATGTATCCTGATGGGGGGTTTGCGCGGGTTAGATTATATGGGCATGCCGTGCCGGGCCCTGCACCGGCGCCCAAGGCGATAGTAGCGTCGGCGGAAGGATCTGCGACGACGGAGTTGGAGGAGCTCTCCTCAGCGCTGATGGGAGGTCTTGTTGTTTCTGCTAGTAACCAACATTTCACCCCCGCATCGAATACCTTACTTCCCGGCCGTGGGGAGCATATGGGTGACGGTTGGGAAACTGCTCGTTCGCGGACACCGGGCCATGTAGACTGGGCGGTTGTTAAGCTCGGGTTGGTAGGGACGATAGAGAAGGTCGTGGTTGATACGAAGGACTTCCGAGGAAACTTCCCAAGGGCGGTTAGGGTGCATGGGTTCCTGAAGAAGGATGTTAAGGAGGGACAGGATCCAAAGTTTGATGATGAAGGGTGGGTGGAGGTTGTACGGGGAGATCAGCCGTGCAAGGCGGATTTGGAACATGTGTTTGAAGGGGGATTGTTGGGTAGTGAAGTTGGAGGGAAGGCGTTTAGCCATGTTATGTTGACAATGGTGCCAGATGGAGGGGTCAAGAGGTTCAGGGTGTTTGGCAGGAGGGCTGTGTGAAGAACGAGTGCTTCACCTTATTTTATTCATTAAACCTGTAAATAAGGGGAAATGCACATCTCTAGAACTTAGTATACAGTTGTAAGTGTGGAAATCAAAACTTTTCGGTCCTCATATAAGGAGATTTCCATTCACCAAATTCTATCACTGGTCACCATTTTAGGGGACTATACAATAATAATAATAATAATAAATAAATAATAAAAAAACAGAACCTAGATAACACAGTGAACCAGCATTGCCCCATTTTTATGGTAACACTATAGAAACATTATATGTGCCGTGGAGAAGAGTCAAGAGGAGTAAAATAAATCGGGGGTTGAAAGGGAGAAAACGGGGGAAATTGAAAAAAGATAATGTCACTCGAGATATATACATACGTGCAAAAAGGACAAAGAATTGAAAATAAGGAAGAAGAAAAAAAAGAAAAGAAAAGAAAAAGAAAAGAAAAGGAAAGAAAAGACATAAAATGCCAGTATTTTGGTATATTTCCTTCATTCCCATTCCATATATGCGGTGGTAAGCCCCCTTTGCCATGCAGTTGGTTTTATCATATCGTTATCATCGGACGTTGCTTGTCGTAAAAGAAAAAGTGACAAAATGTGTACAAATGAAACAAAATTAAACAGAAACCAAGGCTCCAACAAAAAGAAGGGAGATAATTATAAAGGGCAAGAACATCCACCCATCCATCCATCCATAAGTGAAGAAGCTAAACGGGCAGAAACTGGGGGAAATGCAGAAATTCTAAATATTTACTAGAACCCATCCCTGAGTTCTTTTTAGACACGAAGAAGAAAAAGAAGATAAAAGAAAAAAGAAAAAATAGGTATAAACCGATCGGAGCGGGGGGAGACATGTCTAGCACAGCGCCAGTTGAATGTTTGCCGTCAGAAGCGATCGTTATTTAGACGGCTCCACAAGTGCGGAGCTCTCTCCATTCCCACTCGTATTGGTGTGAGTGCTTGATATGGTATCAGCAGCGGCAGCAGCAGCAGCATCAGGAGAAGTAGTCTGTGCGGCGCTGAAGGAGGCACCCGCGGGAGGGCTGTCGGGCGGTTTCGAGCCGTTCGGCATAAACGCATATAGATCCCCAGGCTTTCCCTTAATGGAGGTTTTGGATTCAAATTCAGGAACGATGTTGGTTTGCGGTTCCTCTTCAACGGGAGAAGGACCAGAAGCAGCCGCAGTCGAGCGTGCCCGGCGCCGTCGACATCCCCATCTCGGGAGCTCGGACTCCATCGAAGGTGCTAGATACTGATCAAGCATCCTTTTCAGTACATCAGACCTGACGGGTTTAGCGAGGTAATTGTTCATGCCGGCGTCGATGCATTTTTCGCGATCCCCTTCAATAGCACTGGCGGTCATGGCTATTACGAGAACATCGTTGACGCACGGGTCCAAATCCTCACGAATCCTCCGCGTAGCATTATATCCGTCCAGAACCGGCATTTGAACGTCCATTAGGACAAGGTGGAAAGGGTTTCCTTCTGCAGATGCACGTCTAAGAGCTTCCACAGCCTGCTGACCATCGCTAAACGCCTCGCACTCTAGTCCCAAATTCCTAACGAAAGTCACTGCAATTTTTTGGTTGATTGGGTTATCTTCGGCAATGCAGACGCGGATCCTGTTTCGGGCGAGAGACTTGAGATCCCTGACTGCCTGTCTCATGGGAATCTGTTTCTTCTCTTGAGTGCCATCTTGAGACCATGGCATTTTGACCACAGCGTTCTTCGGGGCTTTGTTAAATACCAGTGTAAAGGTAACGGTCGTGCCCACCCCTTCCTCTGATTGCAGCCAAATTTTGCCACCAAGCACATCCTCTATTATTGCTTTGCAGATGCTCAACCCAAGCCCACTCCCTCCGTATGATCTCGCTGTCGAACTGTCAGCCTGGGAGAATGGCCTGAAAAGTCGAACCAACTGTTCTCCGGAAATTCCAATCCCAGTATCGGCAACTTTACACGTGATACGAATACGGCCTTCATCCTCATCAGTTACCTTGGCTTTGACCGTAACGGAGCCTTTTGGCGTGAACTTGTAGCTGTTGCTTAGCAGGTTCATAAATATCTGGTGGAGACGAACAGGATCTCCCATAACCAATAAATTGGGATCAACACCATCTAGGTCCTCGATAGTCTTAAGTCCGCAATCACGGTGAGTATAACGAAGGGCGCGAACAACCTCCGCTATGGTTTCTCTGAGGTTGAGGGGAACTGTCGAAACTTTCATCTTGCCAGCTTCGAGCTTGGAGAAGTCGAGAATGTCGTTAATCAGCGTTAATAGCGTATCCGCGCAGACACGGATCGATTCGACGTAGCCATCCTGCTCTCGGTCCAAGCTGGTCTTTTTAAGTAATTCTGACAACCCAATGACCCCGTTCATTGGCGTGCGCAAATCATGAGAAACGTTAGCCAGAAATATTGACTTGGCCTTTGCAGCGTCTTCTTTGAGCTTAACGTTATGTTTAGCTTCCGCTTCTGCAACCTTGGACTTTCGTTCCGCTTCCCTGGCGAGTGCCAAGGCACGTTTCTGCGCTTCAACCATGGCGGCGTTGGCAGCACTAGAAGGAAAAGTCAGCAAACTGGCAAGAATGGCAAGAATGGCATGTGTTTGTGTTACAGTAACTTACCTGACTTTACTCGCGTTCCGATAAAGGAAAGCGTTTGCCAGTGAGATTCCAACTTGATTACACACAAGGCGGAGCACAACTAAATTACGTTGAGTAAACGAATTGGGTTTACCCTCAACGTGAATCACCCCAAGAAGATTGTTGGCTTGGATAATAGGTAGGGCAATAACGGATTTCCCATGCGGGTTTCGGGCGGCGTAGGCTTCACTGACGTTGGAGAAACGCTCGTCATCGAGGACATTATGGACAAGGACGGGTTCCCTCGTCCGTAGAGTATAATGCGTGATTTGCTGTGCCATTTTGTCCTCTACTTCAGAAAACGCGAGGCCATCGGCGAAAGCTACATCTCCATTTTCGTGATCGCTAGCCGCAGCAACTAGCCAACCATAAGGTTCAAAGTCCGTGACCACAACCGCTAATTCGGAACCGCTACAGGACTCGAGTATTATGCCAACCATTTTGGTAAGCAATTTCTCTATGTGTAATTCAGAGGACATGACTTGGCTAAATTCAAGTATGCTGGACAAGTCGATAATATCTGAAAATAAAAAATGTACGAGGTTAGAAATTTCACTATATCTCGAGAATAAGGGTTGCATTGCGAAGCCTTACCTAGACCAAGCCCGGATATATCCAAAGACCTCTGGTCAGCATGTTCCTCATTCTCCTCCAACCATTCTCGTTTACGTTCAGCTTCAAGCTGTGGATGGATGGAGTTAGACGCTGGCTCCGTAGTCCTCGGAACATTGAGTATCGAATCAATAGTTTGACAACCAACATCATTAGATCTTGATGTAGGAGATCCAACTCTTAAAAGCCACTCATGTTTTTCCGAGAGGTGCTTAGCTTTACCCGTCGCGCTGATACGGTTCCACGCTGCGATTGCTTCCTGCAGCATAAATTTAGCAGCCCGTTTAACGCCACGTCGAACGAGGAAGTCGACTTGAAGCTCGAGAGCAAGGGCTTCTTCCAGAGGCCAATTGTGTAGCTGGGCATGATCGAGCGCTGCCTCAAAGGCAATGAGAGCACTCTGGAACTTGCCGGACGCCTCGCAGATCAGGCCTTCGAGTATTAATGACCACGCACCGTAATTCACATCGCAAGCGCGGGTCTTAAAGTCGACCTCCTTCTTGTACTCTTTAACCTGGTTGATGGTCTCTTCGACGCCAGGTCGGGATGGATCATCAAGGTGGCGGTTAAGCATGGATAATGAAAGGAAAAAATACGTTTGGGTAGCAGCACGGAGGGACCAGAGGCCGGCCAACGATTTCGTCATTTCAGTGCCAATCTCCACTGCTTTCTCGTAGTAGCCGTAGGAGTACAGTGGCACCAAACTCATTGCACGATACATGTTTAGGGCGTGGGAGTTCAAGCCAGGAAGAGCAATATACTTCTCGCTGTCGTGCTGATCGTCGGATAGTATATGATCCGCAGAGTTGATAAATGTTTTCCCCTGGAGAGCACGTGCGGCTTGCCTAAAAACTCAGAACTCAGCAACATATTCACCCACGAGAGAAAACGAAGTGGTAGTTAAAAATTGAGGAACCTTACCGGACAGAAACGATATAGACCCCGCCACGTGGGTCGTTTTCCCAATCGCCAATTTCCTCTGGCGCATAATTACACAGCGCCTCCAACTCAGACAGGTCATGGCCTAGACAAAATCGAGTGAATACCATAGCGGATATATTCATAAGAATCAAGTATCGTTCACCCAGCAAAAACGCAGCTTCCATAGCACTTTCGAGGCGTGGTAATGTCGTTGACATGGGTACCCTCATATGATTAACGGAATAATTGTGGATAGTAACAGCCCGCGCTAGAATCCAGGGTTCATCGAAGCGGTCTAGGAGATCGACAGCAGAGTCGCTGAGCTTGACGCCAAGTTCAAGATCTTTGTATCGGCTCATCGCAACCATGGATATGTATGTGCACAGAACGGCGACCTGCGAAAAGGCTCCACGAAACAGATAGATATTCATCATTTCAATCCCCAGCTGGAGAAACGTCAACGGCTCCCCCCAAACACACACTGACATAGCTTCGGCCATCAACGACCCAAGAGTGATCAACGTCTTGTCCTGGCTAAGCGGTACAGAGAAAACGACATCGAGATCGGCAGCTTTAAGATATGCGCTGAGTTTCTCGTATGCCTCATCGCAAGCTTCCCAGGAGCTTGGCCTGTTGATTTTCACACCCAGCTCATCCATGCTTGTGAACAAGGCCTCAAGGGCACCGGAAATATCGCTTCTTTGGGCGAGTATCTTGCTTTTTAATTTCCATGCCCTCGCCTTGCACACAGGAGAATGAGCGCGCTTGAACACCACCTCAAGAAGTTCCATGGCTTCCTTGTTTTTCCCACTAGATATTAGCATTTCAGCGGTTTGAATATGGAGCTCTCGTGTTTCCTCATAGTAAACATCTTCAGCATTGCTATCCCATGGGTCATCCTGTAGCAGGTAGAGACAAGCTTGAAAATAGCTTAGCGCGGTAGCCTTCGCCCCAGACTGGAAAGCGCTCCGAGCGGCGTAGTACAGCGCATCTCTATATTTGATCCGTTCGTGAACTCGCTGCTTGATTAATCTTGCTGCACACTGAATATGCTGAGCTCGCGAATACAATGAAGTGCTGTCATTTGGACCGTATTTCATCACGGTTTTTGCAGCAATGAAATGCATCTTCTCTTGGTTATGGCACTCTCTCATACTTGCTACGGCTTGGGCGTAGCGATCGTGGGCGAATCTAAATTTCGAACGAATAAATTAGTGCTCTTCCATATAGATGACAAGCGAATATATGGGGAAAAGAAAGAAAAGGAATCGTTTTGAGAAGCTTACCTAAATTCATCATCAGTTTCACCGGGGATTATAATATACATTTGGAGTAAGTGCTGAAGTCCTGAAACCATCCCTCTTTTACTTTGCGTCAAGGGTGCCCGGTGCGGACATGTAATGTCCTCTAGGGGTTCTCCACCCAAGGCGAACAGAAACTCTCCGGAGAGCAACCTCTGAACTAATGTGAAGGAAAATGGACTGCCTAACAATGCAGCCCATAAAAGAATCGAGCGGGATTCCGAGGGAAGCTCTTGGAGCCGTTTGGCGATGAAATCTGTGCCGAGGCCTTCACCATAGCTAGGGGACACAAATTCCGTAAATATCCTGTCCAAGTCGAACTGCCAGGCTGAGTCTCTCCAAGAATACCAAATGCAGTTCTTTTGATAGCAGGTCTCAAGGATCATTCGCATGTAGAACGGAATTCCTCGACTTTTCTCTTGGACGACTGCGGAAAGGGGAAGCAGCCTCTTGTTAGGAGGTTGGTGCATCGTGGCAGCAACATATTCGTGAACCTCGTCATCATTTAATGGGCTTAGTTCGATCCTGGTTACATTGGCCATGTCGGTCTGGAAAAGCGCTTTTAATTCAGGGGAATTTATTTCTTCTGGTCGGCTCGTAATCATAAGAACGCATCGGATTTTAGTTCTGACAATCTCAAGCAAAATCTGCACGCTTTCCACATCGGCGTACTGGATATCATCCAAAGCGACGCATATCAGCTTCTGAAACGACATAATCCTCAATGTTTCAATAAGAGTATCCGCGAATCTGAGCATAGCGTTGGATGATGGCCCATGGCAAAAATCATTCAATGTCTGACCCGCGCTTAAACTGGTAAAGTGGGCATCTTGGGAATGAAATGATTCCTCTGTCTCCTCTTTAAGCACTTGAAGGGGTGTAGCAGTAGTCTTTAAGAAGTTCACGGACTCGCTCATCGTCCCAACAGGGTAGATTAAATTTTCTGGTAGGCCAAGGATTTTGTGGAGGGATAGCCATATTGGCTGCAGGGTCATGCGTATTGAGCTGTGGTAATCAGAAGAAACGTCACGCTCAGAAAAAATCTGACGAAGAAGACTAGCAAGAATTTTAAAAAATGGCTCAAAAGGAACTCGGCGTGAACGATCGAGGCGAGCAACTGCGATATAGCCATGTTTCCGGATTTCTGGTTGTAGTCGGTTTAAAAGATCTGATTTTCCGAGGCCAGCAACACCGGATATGCTGATCACCTCACAACGACCGCTTTGCCGGTACTTTGCCTGCACCTTTCGCCGTCCTAGAGGTGCAAGGGAATCGAATTGGCCCTGGTTACTGAGGCTGGAAGCAAAATGACTTTCGCGATCATTGATATCGCCAGAATTCTTTGAATCGGTGGGACTCTTAACTCTATTGGAGAGAAGTAGTGTTTTTTGACTTGAGGTAGAATCTGCGCTACAGTTTGAGTCTTGTGTTGACGAATGCGCAAGAGCGTAAGGGCTAGATGTAGAACTGCTCCGTATGGCAGCAATACCGTATGATCCAGAGTCACTGGAGCCATCCCCAATTTCAATGCCATCCACGCGACTATCAGACACGGAAGAGCCTGAACTGAGAGCATAGAGGGAGTGAATTGACTTCGCCGCAGCTTGGGCAAGAGTAGCTTGTTGGCGTTTTTGGACTTTGTCAATAATTTGAAGGATCTTTTCATGTTCTTCTCTCCGTCCAAACATAGTCGCTGGCAGGGCAAAAAACGATGAAACATCGCGCTGGGCTATGACGAAATTTTTTAATCCCTCATGATCGCCATCGCCTAGTAGTCTTGAAATTTGCTGAAGATCCCACTTCACTGAAGAAATCGTGTGGTACCTATCATCGATCTGTTTGTGGGTCATTTTTTGGATAACGGCGGCGGCTGCATCTGGTACATCCATCCTCTTGGATGAAACCGTAGGTAATGTTTTGCCGAGCACATTTTGCACAACTTCAACTGGATCACTCGCATCGAATGCAGGTTGTCCCGCAAGCATCGACCAAAACAACACACCGAGAGCGTATATATCAGTGCGACTATCAGGCTCTGTTGGTAATCTTCCAGTTTGTTCCGGTGCGACGAATTGCAACTTATTTTTCACGCCGAAATCGCGTGTTAGGATCGACCAACCTTCACTCAATGCATTATCGAAAGATCTGGCGCCATTTCCCGTGTTTGAAAGTTTCACTGCGCCTGTCTCGGCATTATAATGGAAGGCATCGGGTCTGATTTCACCGTGAATGCATTTCAGGCCATAATGCAATAATTCCAGACATTCGCATGCACCGATGGCAAAATCCAAAAACGTTGCGATGGGAACTTGGGCCCCTAGGGATGAGCATTCCGCTAATACCTCTCCCCCATACGTCTGGAAAAAGATAGGCCCGAAGCCTACATATTCTTTTAACTGATTTGGACCCTGGGATTCGTAGATTGTAACCAACAAGGGACCGGGATCGCCAGGCTGAGGGGCGAGGCGAATAATGTCGATGGGGCGGACCGTGTGTTTGCATTCGGGATCTGATATCTGGATAATTGATTTCAGTATATGGAACTCGCGTTCCAGCCTTATAACATGGCTCGAAACGCGAGCCACTACGGGTACCCATGAGGCATCCGGATCGTTGCGAGAGGAGGAAATATCGCTACTTGATTCGCTGAGGCTACTTCGCCAATTATTTCGAGAGTAGGATGATCTGTTTTCGATCCGGGGGGAGGTGTGCGCAGAGGTCAATGTGGACTCTTTCGATCGTGAGGAGGAGGAAGGAGTTAAAATGGGCACATCTGCATCCGAAGCAAGTCTCACGCCTGTAACGTGCCAATGATCATAGGAGGAACGGAAAGGTCTGAGATTCTGGTGCCAGATGTAGCCGGGTAATTGCGCTAAGCGCTCAAACAGGCGCCCTGGAGGAAGAGGTAAGTCCTCTCCAAGTATATGGCTGTCGTCCATCGTGGGTGGCGGGGGAGAGGAAGAGGGGATTGGCGTCAAGCTGTGCAAAAAATTGCGACAAAAACAGGTTTAAGCATAGCGGTCGGTTCCGACAGACGTAGCGGAGAGAGCGGCAATGGGCGTCAAGGATCGCTGAATCAAAGAGCGGACATTCCTTAGACGACCTCTAACCGGACGCCATAAGGCAGAATAAAATTGGAATTGGAGACAAGCTGGCTGGCCAGATGTCTGGCAGAGAAGGACTTTCGAGGGAGGATCGTTGCCTTCGGTAGTTGATGTTAGCGATTCAGCTGGGTCGAAAGGCCGCAAAACGGCTTGCTGTGGCTGCTTCGGGTCTAGCTGTTTTCCTAGCCGCTTTTGGTCTTGGCAATTCCGCCACGCCAATTGCAGCCGAAGAAGGGCATTATTTATTAACATAACTCTGCTCTGTAACTAGTTATCGAAGCCCTTGAATCACAGCGCATACTTCCCAGCAAGTCGTCCATGTAATTTGTTCCTTCAATATCTTAGAACGTGTGGTCTTGCACCAGGCAGCCAGTCTGATCCATCTTTACTTGCCTAGAAGATGCTTTTGGCAAATCTGTGCTCTGAACGTTTGCTTTGTTTAGAGCCATACCCTTACTGCAACTGCCTGGTGACGCCATTAAACAGGAGGCACCATATTCGCGAGAGATTTCTTTGCTCTAAGCCTTATTATCTACGCTATGTATAACTACGGTACGTACCAACCGCGTTTTTAGATTGAGAGCGTCTATTGTGCGTATGCCGCCAATCTCAGACCGACCCACAGGTAACAGAGAGGACGCTAAATTAGCCCGTGGCTCATATAAAAGCGATTCTGCACGAAGCCAGCCCAGGCCTTCCGGTTCTTCCGCTCGGCCTGGTAATCAGGACGAAATGCCTGGGGGCGGAAAAAGGTTCCTGGGGATCAATCGAAGATTAGAAGTAGATATTCATTCCACGGATATCAATTATCAAACCGGATGCCCAAATTTGGGATGTCACAAACAGTGCATCTGATCAACCTGAGCGGATGGTATGTTGCTAAATGTAATCTGAGATGTCTGGAATGATACCTATTCTCTTCAAATATTTCCCCCTATCTCTTCCCGGATATCCTACCCTATCATCCGACTGAGAGCTCTTTAAACCATCCGTTGATGGAAAGAGTCAGACATCAGGCTCGAGACCCACAGTCAGTTGACAGGGAAGATAGCCCTCCGCATGTTCTACTCAAGCGAATCACTCGCAACTGGCAATGTTGTTTTCTTGCATCGTGGGAGTATAGCCTGCCCCAACCGTCGTTTCTCAAGACAAGCAAGCCCCCCGAAGCCAACGGACAGGTATACAAAGTAGAGGAAATACTCAAGAAGACGGAAAGCAATTTTCACCTCGAGAATCCCAAATCTTGCAAGAACATACAATCCTGTTCAAAGAATAATCTGACTTGCTACCAATCGCTTTCCCCAACCTGATTCTATTTTCTCCTGGAACTCTTACTTCACTCACCTAAATTTATCAGTACGGCACTGATTAGTCAAAGCACTTAATTGATCATAAAAATCAGATCTGTTTCATTCCCCTATTTTTTCAGTCCATTGGAGCTTTCCGGGTATGAATTGGTTGTAAGACTGGCTGGAACCCACCCATTGCTTCAGGGCTGCCTCAGGAGCTTGTGATTGTTCTCTTTTTCTCTCAATCAGTTTAATGGACTTGGTTGCTGGGAAAGAGTGTGGTTGCAGTGGGAGAACAGCTGAAAGTTTGAACTTGAGATGTACATACAAACAAATACCTTGCATTGAATGAATGATACATAGGATGGAAATCACATGCAAAAGATAGGAACATCTTGGACAATATAATCATAATAATTTTATCAATTCACTCAAAATACAAAGAAAAAAAGAGAGAGAGAGGGAGGGAGAGAGGAATGGACATGTAAAGCCTCACCATGATCAATAACTCAATATTCCATAACTTGAAATATCTCTATGCATTTGTAAAATGCTGGCTTGGAAAAATCTATGAATCAAGTACTAATTCTTTGACTTTCAACCAGTGTACTGAAATTTTGAAATAACTGTGAGAAAAATAATCGAGGCAATTCTCTTGTTTGGTATTTCTTATAATATTATACAGTATCACTTGCTGGAGAAAAACTTTCATGATTCATGAGTAAGTAGTTAGTCTAAGTATCATGTTCCGTCAAATTCAATTCAATAGAATAAGAGTATTCATTAAAACACATAACATGAACTCTGAAAGTCACAAGAAAAGGAAGGGGAAACACCGAAAAAAAAAAAAAAAAAAAAATCTAAGAGAGCCACAAAAATTGAACATGATACCACATTTATTGTATCAGATAACTTATAACATCCTTGGATGCCCCTTGCATGTTTACCCAATCAACAAAACGTACATCAGTCAATGCATGGGGTGGCAGGCAATGTGCATACATTAATCTGCAGAGATAGGAAGAGGAGCTGGGAGATATACATAGTTTCATAGTTTTCGGGTATGAGGGCAAACTTTCTTTGCAACAATGTGCTACATACACTTGGTGATAGAAAAGTTGATGGCAGGAGAGGGTAGATGTGCAGGTTGAAATTGTGTGTGCGAACCGCGTCAAAGTGTCAAGGTATGAATGAGAGAGAGATGAAATACTCCGTCAAAAAGATTAAAAATCAAAAGATAAGATTCTAGGGCCATCACATCAACGACTCTCAAAGGCCACAATAGAGACAAAATCGAGATCCCCACCAGAAGTTCTAATAAGTATCCACCCCCTAATAAGTGAATGGGATGGCCACGCGTAGCGTGGAGTGAACTTCAAAAGAGGATGCTGTGTGGGCAGGGGACAACATCCATACACTGAATATTCAATCAAGATCTATCCCCGACACCTACCCGCAACTACCGATGGATTCTGTCGGTGAATCTCTGACCTTTCCCCCCTGTCAAATCGGCTTCATCCCGTAATCAGCCTTAACCTGCCCTGTCCTTTTTAACTTTGCTATCCGAACAAGTCTTAGGGAGGTGCAGCAACGAGCGAACCGTCGCCCCAGTGCATATTTTGGTTTATTTTTTCTACAATTTTACGTTTCTCTGATTCAACTAACCTGGTTCCCGGAACCAAGTGACTGCGTGGCGTTAAAAAGCTTGGACTAATATTATTTGCTAGAAACGCCGGTTTGTCATCTATGGGCGCCTCCCCATTTTTATCACAACTTACATGAATCAACAGCGTACGAAGAAAGGTGAGGTGGGGCTGGAGGAGGTGGTGGTGATCGTTGCCAACATCGTGCATGTATGTGCTGTCCAAATACTAGCTCGTTCACCAGCTTGCAGGTGCATCACATTATGCACGGATGCAGCAAAGGGTCACTCGTGTCTGGGTAAGTCCTTAATCGTTCCTCTAGATAATAATGAGTCTACCAGGCATGTTCATTCAACCGTGTCTCCTCAATTTGACTCAAGCTCTTTGCTAGAAGATGGGTGGATATCAAACTTACCATGGGGCAGAGTTTGTATTATTATATTATTCAAGAAAGGTACGTATATTGCTGTTCCTATATAGTAGTAATGGACTTTCGGCGCGTGCGCTCGGCGTACTTCCTCTGAGGTCCGGTTGGCAACATCTTGCCCGCGTTTAAATTCAATGTCTCAGTTTCCATCCATTATTACTGGACGCAATTACACAGGGTTCTACCTCGAATTTCCCCACTCAACCAGGCCCTGATAGGATAGCTGTAGAATATGTATTTATCATAGGGCTAAAGCAGAGTATGATTACTAAATGAGTATCTGCTAGTTAGAAAAAAACAAGTCAAAGGATGACGAACATATGAGGCCATCGTGGGGCACGCATAGGAACTATTGAACTGCTAAATTTATCCATAACTTTGCCCATGCTTGTACCCTTTTGAAAGTTTTCTTGGGCGCTGGTGGCCCCAAAGGGTGATCATTTTGATGGAAAGAGAAAATGGGGGGTTTGGAAGGGGGCAAGGGGGAGGCGGCAAGGGCAAGTATATCCCTTCAGGCCTCACATCTATTATTACTTTGCCCCTCTGTACAGTCTGCTTCAAGGGATGGGGTGTGATGATACTGCTGGCGGAAGCGCAGACAGCCTTCTTCAATAATGCCTGTTCGATCCCCCCTTTTGGGTGACCCAAGCTGGTGAGACCTCAAAGTCAACAACCGATCCTTGCAAGGAGTTGATTAGTTTAGCTTCAAGTTTACGAATGTTAGCCGGGCGGGCCATCGCAGAGCGGAGTTGGCCGCCTCAGCATTTTTTTCTACAGAATTTCAAAAAATCCCGGACACACCAACTTCTAGTTAAGTTACAATCTACAAGACCGCATGACTAGTTACTAGTAGGATGACCAGGGACAGTTCATTCAACCTTGAAGCGAGGGAATATTCGTAATTAAGATCTTTCTTTCATTCTCTGCGTGCTATTGCAATTTGAACTCCCTAGCAAACTCCAACTAAGAACTTTCTCGCATCAAAGACGTTTTCTAGAAGAACTTTCTTTGTCCTTTCCGAATTTGCACTAACTATTCCTTTCGATCAGTCGGTCGGCTGTGTCTTTAACAGAGCTAGCTAAAGGGCAACAACATCAAGTTCAACTTTCTCACAGACAGTTTTGACTGCCTTCAACCATTCCAACATGACTCAAGCTAATAATAAATAGTAGTACATAAATCTGTGATGATCATATGGGATGGAATGGTCCTTCCTGAACCTGGAGTCTGGAGAGGAGTCGGTACGTAACCTCTCCGCCCTGCGTTCCCCTCCCCTCGCCATTCCCCACATATTTTCTTCCTTCCTTGCAGGCTCATTTCTCGGGTTCTTCTGGGCTCCACAGTAATCTTAATTTTTAGAGGATATTCGCCATTATTCGTTAGGCAGCTTCTCTCCTTACTGATTCTCGAGCAGAGTAGAAGACTTCTCGAAAACAGAAAGAAAAAATTAAAATAAAATTAAAAGACATGAATCTTGGGACATCGGGGGAATCAGCAGATGAATGAGAGCCGGATGAGACGGAGTAAAACGGCATCCTTTACTATGTAGTAATGATAAATAATCAAATGGACCAGGGTTTCTTGTTCTGTCGTCTGAGCAATTGGATTGAAAAGATATGATATTTGAGAGGCTTGGTTCTCTGAGTTAAGTTTCTCCGTGCCACGAAAGTTGATGCAGGGCATTCTTTACAATAACTATGCATTTCCAGACCTCAGGTAATGAATGACATCAAACATAAGGCATGCGGTAATAAGATATTCGTATATATATTTATATATCAGCTGAAAAAAAATTTATCAGACAGGCTCCGCGAGGAATATTTTTCCATACGTGTTGTAGCAGATATATATATTGGTTGTGTGGGCAACATTCCTGTATACCTTCCGGCTTTGTCTCTTATCTTGCTCTTCTCATTCATTTTCATCCATTTTTCTTTCCCTTCTTCTTCTTCTTCATTTGTCAATTGAAGTTATACAAATCATTTCACGGTTTCTGCCTTATTTTGATCAGTTTTAGGCAATCATGTGTTCTTTGGGTTGAAAAGCCTGGTAGTTGTCTCTCCCTCTCGTCTGGTGATAAACTTTTCAGCCTGCCCCCGTATTTTCAGCTGTTCATTTTTATTCATTTTTTCGCTCTTTCTTACCACCCCAATTTATTATTATAAACCCTGAAGTTCTGTGTGACAAGGGTAAATATGAAGAGAGAAAAAGAAGGAAGAAGAGGGAAAAAATTAAGATGCATGTTTATTATTAAGTTAGTCGACTTGTTTTGTTGATCAGGGCAGCAAGCTTAACCTCAAAGCTTGGTTTGGGCACGAAGTGGACTGCGTAGGTGGCTTTTTTTCCCCCCCTCCTCTTGATTCCTAGCCCTTTCTTTGTTGTTTTATTATCAAGAAACAGAGCATTCCCCTTCCCCCCTTTTTTGATGTGAGCACAATGGGAAATTGTCCAGAGGCATATATATATATATACGGAGTATAGGTCGGGTCGCAGGGATGCCAAGCTAGCCACCCAGGCAGATTTTCCTGACTAGCGAGTTAGAACTTAGAACTGAGGTATGCCGGGTATCGCTTTTTAGGCGTATCGTATGTTAAGTTACCCCAGACTACGCTGGAAAAAACGTAAGCTGTTCCCATGTACGCGGGTTCTGTAGCGAAGGCTAGTTGAACTCTGAACGGCAGAGGAGGCTAAGCGTAGCCTTCCTGCGGGTTTCGGACATCATATCCGTTTTAAGATGATCCCTCCATTACATTTTTTTCCTTCCTTGTTTCTTTCTACTGTAAGGGGATGTAAGTTAGTCATTGACCGAGGATGCGAATTATTTCGCAAGTATTTGGAAACTGAATAATGAAATAATGAATGCCAGGTACATTTATTTGAATGGTGAATTGGGAGAAACCCGCAATGAATCATGGCAATGATGAGAGTATTTGGTGATGAGCTAAGCTGCTGGGTATGTACAGATTACTGTACGGAGTACGGAGTACAGTACGTTAAAATAATAATAATGCCGCGAATACCTCGCCCATTCATTCGTCGGTAGTTTAGCCTGGCGGGAGTTGAAGTTAGTAGTTGCAGAGAAAATTACCACTGTCATAGGTTGTTTCAAGTCTGAATTCAGAGAAACCAAAAGAATAAGTTCAAAAAAACAGGATTGGAGATATGGTATGAGGAAAGTGGTTTATCATGGGATTTATTTTTCCACTTATCTGACTATCCTCGCCCCCTTGATCGAGGAGCTTTGCCTTATATTTCATTCCGATCTGGGGGCAGAGCTGCCAAAGGGAAGGGATGCAGAAGAAAATAAAAAGTTAGCGCAAGCCAGGGTGGGACACAAGGAGACAGCGATCGGATTTGGGTGCAACAGGTCAGATCCACACAACGTGCTTAACCCAATAATTTGTGGGATTGTGAATGCAACCATCGCAGCCAAAACCCAAAGGCGAACGAACGAATGGGGGGAAAAGTCAAGGCCAAAGGGGTCAGTCAGTCAGGCTCGTATATATCCTCGCAGGGAGGTGCGATACCACCAGACACCTGAACTCGTGTACTCTGTTACTCCGTACCTGGATAGAGGATGAGGGAGGTGAAGATGTCGACAGTGATCCTGCACACTGTTTAAATTTCGTTAGCATGTCGGGCTTTTGAAGAAGACATCAGTTATGGAAATTTCCGACAAGCAGACTGCGTTGCGTGGAGCGTGCGTGGGAAGCGAAGCCAGCCTGATGCATCACACAAAAGACAGGGCTGGATAGAGAGTGAGCGTGGCAGCACACTACTTAGTACTGTGTACTCCGTACAGCGTAAGCAAGATGCCACCGTACTGGTTGTCTTGGAGTCTTGCCGAAGAAGATGGGGTATGACATCGTCGCCGCTGACGATCAAAATGGCAAGTCGACTGGCCAAAGCAAGTGTCGCGCAAACAACGGCTGCACTACCTGAAGCTAGTTGACGCTAACTTTGGGCCGGGTTTCGATGCCATTGGCCACTACGAGGGAAGGCACCGCGCCGAAACCTGTTGTTAACCAGCGTTAACTTGGGCTTCTTTTACGGGCCTAGGTTGTTAGCGTGGTATTAATAATTCTCACAACTCTGTTTGTGGTAATAATAAACCAGCCCGCCTGGACCGATTGGTAGGTAGGGCCGTTTTTACGTGGTTTCTTCATTCTGTTCGGGATTCGATTTTGGTTTTTCTTTTGAGAGGATTTCTTCATCAACTCATCATTTTATTCTTGCCTTTTGGGTATATATTCATACTCTTTTAATGAGTCGTATAAAGCACATGGTTCGTAGCGTTACCTAGGTAGGTACCTAGGTAAGTTCCAAAAATTCCGGGATCTTGGTTAGGATCAGGGTTAGCCGTGGAAATAACCGATTATGGCTATTAGGAGAGACCAATGATCATGGGGGATTTGACAAGTAGTGTACGCTGTGTATGTTATGCACGATAATTGATGTTCATTGACTTTTAGCACCGTTTTAAATGGTATTTTATCTGCTGGCTGACCCTTGAGCAGCGAAACAGAGCAGAAGAAAGAAGAGCCGGACATCCAGACACTATCATAATTATTAATTGCTTCCCCAGACCGACTTTTGAATGCATGATATGCTGGGATGGATGACGCCTCTAACAAGAAGAATATCTCGTAGACAACTCAACAATAATAATCATAAAATAACCCGTAGGGAGAATAGTTAATGTTTAGCAGCAGCAGTGTGTTTTGAGTACAAGAACAAAAATTATTCCTTGTTCAGCCCACACAATGTCAAGCGAACAGGGTTTATTTTTAATTTTATTTTAATCTTTTTTTAAGTCTTCTTTTGCCTTTCTGTTGTGCAGCAACCTACTACGTCATTTATGCCAAGGCCCAGGAACATGGCGACAACACTCTTGTTGCTTGTTCTTTCATTCCTCCATAATTTTTCCCTACATCGCTCACTCCTGCCCGACACTGACCACCTGAGAGTCTGAGACTGCCGTCTCGTCTGCTGCCAGCGCCAAATGCCCCCGAGCCGCTGGGACTTTCTCCAGCAACCACGCCCACGCCCATGCCCACAACCACAACCACAACCACAACTACAACTACAACTACAACTACACCCACGCTGCACTACTCGTTTAGTCTCAGTACGTACCTCTCCAGCCAACCGCAGCCACCGACCACCACCACCTCATCTCTTCCCAACCACATACCACCACCACCAACCACACACCCATATACACCACCTACGCTACCACCACTCGACCTCACCACTTCTCAATTCCAGTCCCATTTGATCCTTCCAGTCTTGTACAGTACTTTAGTAGTACTCTCCATCTCTCTAAGCAAGGATCCTATTGTCGGTCTCGTAGGTCATATTCCGAAAGACATGCTAGCCTTTTTCCTAGGCGGTAGTCTCCAATTTCACGACGAGGATTAAGTCTGCGCTGGCGGAGGAGGACCAAATGTCCCCAGCAGCATGAGGATGCCACTGCCTCCCTCCCCAACTAAGGCCCCTTCGTCTGCAGCCTCCTGCAACTGCCCTCATCGACGTCCCTCGAGATCTCACGTTGCCAGTCAGAGTCCTTTCGTCCAGCGCGACCCCGACCCTCCATTGCTCTCGATGCAGCAGCATGATACCCCTGGGGCTGACGCGCCTGCCCATTCTCCAAACCCCACTGCTGCTGCCACCTGCGTGCCCGAGTCTTTTGCGGAGTCCACTTCTTCTCCCGAATCACGCCATGGGAGACCCGGGCTGCCACATCGTAGCCAACGGCAGAGCATGCACACCCTAGATGATTTGCGGAAGCACATGGAGGGGATCTCTGTCTCTCACTCCCGTTCTAACTCTTACACTTTCAACACTGGCGCGCCTCCTGATTCGAGCCAGGGTATGAAGTCGCCTCGCAAAACCAAGAGAACCATTCATTCTACGCCCTCATCGCCCTCTAACACCCCAATTCCTCCAGCTTCATTCTCAAAGTCCAGCGGCCACACTGATTCTTCTTCCTCGTCCCGGACGATCAGATCGCCCAAGCAGACCGATCATTCTGAATTATCTGCGTTTCCATTCCCAACGCCTTCATCCTTAGCCACTTCTGTAGATCATTCTCTCGACCCCTTCGCTGATGCGCGACCGATCGTGAAGCGCTTGTCGATACGTAGAACGAAGCCCCGGAGGAATAGGTCGCCTCTTTCCACCCCTGCGCCTGTGTTTACTGAAGCGAATGGTTCGACATGGAGGAAAGACTACTTCATGGCCCACAACGCTGACACTAGCGCTGAAGACCCGCGGTATCCTACCCCGAACCTCTACGACATTACATTGGTGCTGAATGCCGAGGCCGGATTGGATGCCTGGTGGTCGAATACAGTGAAGGTACTACATGCCCATTTTGGCGCTGAAAGAGCCGCCCTAGCGATACCTGGAGATAGTACCGACCTGGAGAATGTACCATGGGGTCAAAAGGCAACGTATAGTTTATATGGCTATAGGACCTCTTTGTCGTCCGCTGGAGCTACAACAGGTAATCATGGGGCAGAAACCTCATTAAAGGATTCTTCTGACCGGGAAACCACTGATGTGGACAACAATCACAATAACAATAAATCTACGAAACTGAACGGACAGGTTCTCACGCCATCTGAAAAGCGTCCACCTATGGTTGCACGTCATTCATTCGCCGGTTTCGGGAGGCCTGGAAATATGGGTAGCCGTGACAAAAGTGTACGACCAGATGCACCCAAGCGGACGAAAAGCTCGTTGAGCCCTGCCACGATGCAACATGGAACAAAAGATGACGAAGAGTCAACGGAGTCGGCAGATCATATGCCTACCGCGACGTCAGATCAACAGCGCTCGGAGCCCTCTGTAAATTCGACGGAATGTGTCCCATGCCCATCGGTGGCAGTTTTCCCTGTTCCTCGTGCTTTGGAAGTTGAATCGGACCCTCTAATAAAACGAACAGGCGTGGTGAAGCTTTTTGGAAGAACGAAACCCGCCGTGTTAACGAGACAATATTCTCAACATCCGATGGCGTCGCCTCTATACGACTCTATCGCGAAGCCGCCGTCGAAGGACGACACACTTCAGAACCCCTCGGCTGCTACAGTTCTTAGCGAGCCTACGACCTGCAATGTTTCAATTGGTCGAACGAGCATCTGCTCTGCGTCAAGTACGAGTACTACCACACAGACGATAACGGAGCTACCAAGGCCTTCTGTCCCTAACTATAGTCACGATGATGCCTCTCCACCCAACTCTTCGTGTTCAGATTCATATGAAGAGTACGAACAAGTTCCCCAGTCGCCCTGGGCGCAATCCCCTGCTCCATCGCCCGCCGCCCGCTCGGATCCAGAGCAAAATCCTTTCTTCAATAACAGCAGCAAGATTGATGATGCCTTTGCTTCGAGTCCGCCGTTACATGATTATTCTACGAACCGACCTATCGAAGCCATTGGCGTTGATCTTGCCAAAACAATCATACACATACCCTTGATACACTCTTCGTCGTCGAAACAACCCTCTTCAAACACATTGAGATTTCCTGTTGCTATCATTTCCATCCTCACCTCAACTGTCCCTTACCCAGCGAACCTGAGGAAGTCTCTCGAGTACCTCCTTCCTCACCTCACTACCTCATTTTGCCTGGCTCAACAGTACAGCCAGCTCGAAAGGCAACTCGCAACTTCAAGGACGCGGCAATTCGGACATATCCTTGGACTTGGCGGAACCTTCTCCGACGCCAGTAGTGAAATGGAATTGGTGGCAGGGCTCAGCAGTCACGTTAACTACCGTTGGGAGAAAATGTTTCACTGCAAGGCCATTCAAGCATACCGAGCCCGCTCCAGCGATCGGATACCAGCAGATCCAATTCCGCCATGTCAGGGTCGAATACTCCCGGCTTAGAATTTAGTGGCGGTATGCCTCGTGACATCTACCTTACGCCGGGGCTAATGTCGAGACATTCTTCAGACAACTCGGACAGTTATTTCAATATCAAGCAGCAACCTGGTGGTATGATGAACCAACAAAGATTAAGGCATCAAAAACAAATGCGAGAGCCTTCCGCTTTAATATCGCCCCGCCCTGCGTCATCGCGGGGTGCATCTACAGAGTTTGATGAGTTAACTTCTAGAGATCCTGGTTTAGTGCCCACCCCATCGTCCAGGGCCCCGAGTATGGCTACATCACCGCAAGGCTCCTCACGATATGCTTCGTCCGCTTCGATTGCTACACAACTACATAGAGAACTCCCACCTCGACCGTTCCCAGATACCATCGCACAGCTGATGCTCAATTCGGTACCGTTACACCTATTTCTGGCGAAGCCCCACATCGGAGAAGTCATTTGGACGAATGATAAATTCGATTATTACCGAAAAAACCAACCACATGAGCAACGTGCCAGAGACCCTTGGCTTGATGTACATGAGAGTGAACGTGAGAATTTATTAAAGGAATGGGCAAAGGCGCTTCGATCGGGGTCCCAGTTTACGGAGCGAGTTCGCGTTAAGCGATACAACGACGAGTCGACCTATCGTTGGTTTATTTTCCGTGCGAATCCTTTGCTATCGCAGACGGGGGAGCTGCTTTATTGGATTGGGTCATTTCTTGATGTTCACGAGCAGCACGTTGCTGAAATGAAGGCAGCGCAGGAGAGGGAGCTATTTGCCACGAATGCAAAGTATAAAGCGCTAGCCAATTCAATACCCCAAGTGGTGTTTGAGGCTGCTGAATATCGAGGGCTTATCTCAGCCAATGAACAGTGGCAGCTGTACACAGGTCAATCCCTGGAGGATGCCCTTAACTTAGGCTTTGCCAAACATATCCACCCGGATGACCTTGAAAAATGCGGCATCTTGCTCCCACTAAAAATAACCCTGGACTCGGATAATCCAATCGAATCTGGGCGTATCATTAATCCCCCGCGGGGTTTGAAGGCTTATGACGAAAACGCTGATTCGGGTTCGAGCGGGCTACTGAGTAAGCCTCCACTTTCCCGAACCAATTCGATGCGTGATGAGAACCGACGTTCAACATACCAAGGGTTAACTCATGCTCTTCATGAGCTAGTTGGGAAGGGTGTGGTTACAATACAGAAAGATGAAAATGGGAGATATTCGTATACAACTGAAATCCGGCTGCGATCGAGGGGCGGTGATTTCCGATGGCATCTTGTTCGCCTTGTGAAAGTGGAGACGACGAGTTTTGGTGATGGCGACGCTTCCTGGTATGGTACCTGCACAGATATCAACGATAGAAAGCTTCTGGAACGGAAGCTGAATAGGGAAATGGAGTCAAAGACGAAGTTCTTCAGTAATATGTCCCACGAGATCAGGACGCCGCTGAATGGAATATTGGGGACAATTCCGTTTATTTTGGATACGCAGCTAGACAACGATCAAAGACGTATGCTCGATACTATCCAGAACAGTTCTACCAACCTGCGTGAACTTGTGGACAATATTTTGGATGTATCCAAAGTTGAAGCGGGGAAGATGAACATTGTGCAACAGTGGTTCCATGTTCGCTCTATCGTGGAAGATGTGATTGATACGATTGGGTCGAGAGCGATAGATAAGGGACTAGAGTTGAATTATCTCGTCGAGTCAGATGTTCCTCCCATGGTGATTGGGGATAGGTTCCGAATACGCCAAATCCTTATAAACTTGATGGGCAACGCAGTCAAGTTTACGTCCCAGGGAGAAATATACACGCGCTGTTCAATCCACCACGACCCTTCAGTTTCTGTAAAAGGGACGGAGATTCTTTTGAATTTTGAGGTTGTTGATACCGGCAAGGGTTTTAGCTCCACAGACGCCGAGCGGCTAATGCAAAGATTCAGCCAAATCGAGGGGAGCGCGTCCCAGCAACATGCAGGAAGTGGGCTTGGCCTCTTTTTGTCCAAACAGCTTGTGGAGATGCATGGTGGGCGTTTAACTCCGACAAGCAAGGAGGGCCAAGGGGCCAAGTTCTCGTTCTTTGTTAAGGTCGATGCACCACCACCGCCGCCGCCCCAGGACCTATCGAACTCCAACCTCGATGATCGATATCTTCAGCCCATAGACGACATTTCTGCACTGAAGAGCCCAAACCAACAGGAGTTTCCTTTCACTCAAGACATGCTAAGCTTACACTCACCGACAAATTCAGATGCCTTGAGCTTGTCCCGCAAACAATTATCCGGTTCTTCCTTTGCGTCAAATAAAACCAACACGCCTCCATCCTCCCGAGGTGGAGGAACTCCCGCAAAAACTGATCAGCCTAGCCAAACCGCATCCTTCGATATATCCACGCACAACGTGACCGGAACTGAGGTTATTGTTAGCAGTCCTACATCTCAAAAGTCCGCCCCCCTCCCTCCGTCATACCATGTATTAATAATATGTCCTTTCGATTATGCCCGCGAGGCCTTGAAGCAACACATCGAACAAGTTATTCCTCTAGAGGCCACGTCTAAAGCTACTGCCGTTCTCGATGTTGAAGACTGGAAGGATCTTGTTGCTGGCGGCGAATGTCCCAATTTCACCCACCTAGCAATCAACATTCCAGATGCCAACGATGTCAAGGAAACTATGCAAATGATTCTCCAATCCGATTGCAATAGTAAGGATATCAAAAGCGCACCACCGACCATGATCATTGTCTCGGATATCTACCAGAAACGAGAGATAAGTGATGTGTACGAGCAATTCTGTGCCGCTGGCGGGCAAGGGTTCTTGGTTCCAAAGCCTGTCAAACCCTCATCACTCTCAAGGATCTTTGACCCTTATAACCAGCGGGATCTCAGCAATGATCGAAACCAGGATATGGCGCGGGAGATTAATAATAGTTTCAAGACCATGTCGAAGATTGTTAAGGAGGTCATTGGAAATAAGGGATATCGTATTTTGCTCGTGGAGGATGATGAGACTAATCGGACGGTATGTGATTCTCGTCAGGTGTTCCATTATTCATTTTTGTAATTTTTATTAACGTTTCCTCCTTATTATTAATAGGTCATGTTGAAATATTTGGAAAAGGTTAAGTTGGCTTCTGAAACGGCTGGCAACGGCCAGGAATGCATCGACATGGTATTTTCCAAAGAACCCGGCTATTACTCCTTGATTATAGTAAGATTATATCCTCCTATTCTATCCTTTCCCTTTCCCGGGTCATATGACTAACCGGCAACTCTGTTAAAAGTGCGACATCCAAATGCCAGTTAAAAACGGATACGAAACCTGCCAAGAAATCCGCTCCTGGGAACAACGGAACCACTTCCCGCAAATTCCCATCATGGCGCTCTCCGCAAACGCAATGATGGATCAGATCGATGACGCCTCACGCGCCGGCTTCAATGACTACGTGACGAAACCTATCAAGCACAATGAACTCGGCAAAATGATGATGGAGCTGTTGGATCCCCGTGTTCCCCAGATCCTGCTTAGGGATCGGAATAAATCAGGGAATTCGTCGTCACCGTCATCGTCGCAGCAGCAGCAGCAGCGTTGATGAGGAGCCTGTGAGAGGATAGAGGCTCTAGACAGGTGGCTTTACTGTTTAAGCTCGTCTATCCAAACTTCTATCTGTACTTTGTCTTCTCTTCTCTAGTGTGTATCAAATCCTGGTGTGATGTTTTCAAAACGAAGGAAGATACGCGCTGAGCAGGAAGGTGGGGATGGGATTTTAACACCTCACCCGCTGCTCACATCCTGAGATACTGACCCCTTTCCACACAACTTTTACCTCCCTGTTTGGCAGCTGCCGTTCGGCTTGGCTTGTTTTTCCATTGTTCTAGACAAAAAAGATTTTTATGTTTTCTGCGTTTTTCTCACAACTCTTTGATTACAGGTTGATTTTTTTTTTTTTTCTTCGTGTCTCCCAAAACATACCTACACACATATACATGCTGTGTCAATGCTGCATTGTTCTTTGTCATTTTTGGCGATGGGAATCATGAAAACCTGGGGAAATTTCTCTTTTTAAGTCTTTCTGTTTTCTTTTCTTTGTTCCTTTTTGTCCTTGTTGGATAAAATTGGATTCTCTTGCTGTTTTGGATTATTATCACTGCTATTGGCGTTTTCTTTCTACTTCTCATAATTGCAATAACTCTGTGCATACGGGCTTTGGGTTTTCTCTTTTTCCTCAGTTTTTGTTACATTCTTTCTACTCTTTCTACATTATCTATATATATATATTCCCCTTCTAAATTCTCCCTCCCCTCTTTCCTTCCCGCTTCGAGGTACGATTTTTAGGTTTCTTCCACTTTGTGTTTATTTATTCTCATTCTATATACTATTATTACTATTACTATTATTAAATTTCTGTTGAGCCTTTCTTCTCTCTTGTTATTTCACCTATGTTTTCCATCTCTTACGTTCGCCATGGAATTATGTGGGTGGGAAGAATATCCAACCCCGAGTTGAGTGTTAATTGCTTCAATATATATTATAGCTTACATTCGCATGCTCTTCCTTTCCTTATACTTCTATGATATATAATTATACAGGTGCATTTTACAAATGTAGACGACAGATAGAGCATGCTAGAGACTAGATGACAAGACATTACAACGATAATGGTTAAGGATAACCAGAAGGTGCTACGGTCACTATACATGAGATTTTGCTCCAGATTTCCTGATATATGTCTTTCCTATCAGCCTGATCATTCGTAGTTTTCGAAGAGAATCTCAGTACCTATGTAGGATGGCCGTGAGAACAAAACATGAGACCAAAAGGAAACCCCGTAAGGATAAGCGCGAGAATCCAGCGGAATATATGCAACAATGAATATTCATTCACTCGACAGTCAGGAGCGCTCATCCACCCTCGACGAACAACGAACGCATTTAACCTACAAGCCAAGGAGAAAGGAAAAGCATAACCCCTCCCGCTTCAGAATAAAGGCGAGACGATGACCAAGTTGACGGAAAGCACGAGGCTGAGTCCATCAGGTTTTGCAGATATCGACTCGGGACGCTCATGACATATCCACGCTACACGCTGAGCTGGTTGTGTTGTGGGATGGCCGCTTCAATTCAAGATTGGCGGTGGTTGCACCCGCGTTAGGAAAGGCGGAAAATAGAAGGTGGAAGGGAAAATGGTGATAAGAATCTATAGAGCCCGGGTTGATGGTAGGTCAGAGTGATGGTTCGCTTGACAGGAAGGGGCGGGCGGGCGAGATGTAAATAATGCACACGGGGAAAGGTGGAGCGAATGTTGGTGGTACGCTTGCTTATGGCGGTCTAATAGTGCCAATAAGTGGGAAAACCCCGGCGCGGGGGGGAGGGGTGAAGGGTTGGTGGGGGTGGTGGTAGGGCTGACCAGGCATAAGCGGGATAAGGAAAAGGGAAGGATGCATGCTAGAAGTCAAGATGAGCTGCAGGATGAGGAAGTGGTACCATCAGACGAACGATGTCCAGGGGTCCTAGGGTGGTGCGATGGGGATGGAAAGAGGGCGGGGCGCAACACGCAAGGTGGGATGAGCTCTTTCCTCCTGGCTATCCTATGCCCGCACCCCCGCACCCTCATTCAGACAGACGATGTCCGGCAGGCTTCGCAGGTAGCGGGAAGACGAAATGGGTATTAAGAGCCGCATGGAAAACATATAAACCCCCCCCCCCCAAACTTCTTTCTCTCTCTTTCTCTCTTTTTTTTCTCTTTTTTCTTTTTCTCCTCTTCTCCTCTTTTCCTCCTTCCCTCGGTTTCGTCTCCCCTCTCCTCTCTCCCTTCTTCTTTTCCCGCTCTCCAATTTCCCTCCCACGCGTAGAAATCTTCGACCAGTTGAGCGTTCTCCATATCTCTGTCGGAGGAAGTATGTACGTGGACATATGTGATTTATGGCAGGCAGTTCATCAATCTCGGAGACAATAAAGGAGGACCGTTAGTTCAGGAGTATTAATAGATTGATATTCACTAGAATCATCGGGTTCAATTGAGTGGAAACTGCAAACTGCCTTGGAGGAGCATAGCAATGCATGTCACACATTGTCTACGCATAGCGGGTCTCTGCTCTGATGCCATGGCTTGCTCGAAACCGCCAGCATGATGCTTTCTCTTCCTCTCGGTCACTCTTTAAGCTACCACTCAGCTTGACGGGCTGCCCTGTCCGCAAAATGGAACCCTCCGTACTGTACAGATGTAGCCCATGCGGGTTTCGCATCAACAAAGCAAAATTGAAGAGTTCGGTTGCTCGCCACTTGTCAATCCATGATTCATGTTTATATTCATTTCCATTACTAACCAGTTTCAGTTGTGGTTAGCTTAAATAGTTGCAGGAACTCTTACGGTGAAACTCCCAAAGATACTTCCGTGAGCACAGGGGTTTTACCCCTTTTCCCATCACCAAGACACTTTTTGATGTTCGCTTCAGCACAATGATTTTGGATACTATATAGGATAAAATCATGTTCGCACATGAGGTCGTCCGCCGTCTAAAAATGGATCGAATTGTTTAACGTGTAACTTACCCTTTAATGTAGGATCTGCAAAGCCGTGGAGTTAATTAGGGCAACTCGGTAGAGAATGAATGGGCTGCACCCCGACATTCCACAAATCAAAATAAATACCCCACCCCAGGCGAAAGCATTTAGCTATCTGCAACTTCGTTTGCGGTGTCCAACCGCGGCCCTCGAATGCCTGTCAAGACGCTTGCTAGCGGAAAGTTGGAAGACATGCCTATCAAGTTAGAACCATGTCATTCCATCTTGGAATCAGATGACCCTCGGCGCATGCTGGGGGAATTTCGAAATTGAAAGCGGTGTACAGTGCATATTTACACTACTTCCGCATCATGGGCCTTGTCATCGATATTGATATCCACTGCCACTCACTCTAAGCAATTTTCTCGCGGCCGACAAATTTCGGTGCAGGTGTGGAGGGAGAAGGAGCATTTATTTATTCTCTGCCCTGCTTCCATCCGCGAGCTTATCCATGTTGGGTCTCAAGGGAACGATAAGGGGAGGAGAGGGGAGGGGAACAAATTGAGCAATATTTTACTTATTCATGGGATACTTTATTATCTATTCGCCTCGGAGCTGGTTCGCCAGTAATGTATGTTCAGTACAATAGAGCCCGTGAGCTATACCTGATCGTAGTTTGCTAAGGAGTAAAACGTTCAACAAAACAGGGTGGTGTCACAGGCTTGTGTATATTTTAGAATCCAAGCGCTTCATCTCTTTCATGATCTCACGGTACCTTTCCCATGTGCATTGAGAATTTAGCTGCCCGGCATATAATTCGATTTGATAGTTAGTCTGTTTCGGATCAGAAAGAGGGTACACGTTGCAAACTGTTAAAAAAGTGAATAAGTTGGATATTTTTTTTTTCCTTTTCCATTTCTTTGTGTTTTCTGTTGCCTTTATGTTTCTTCTTTCTCTTTCTTTCCTTCTTTTAGAGAAGCAGCCAAAAAAAGTTCTATTTTCAACCGTTCTGCAAAGTCAATGCATCTGAGTATTGGTGGAATCCATCTCGTCATCTCCCCTCTTTCCCACAGCCTAGACTGGGGTTTTTCCCCCCCCCAAAAAAAAAAAAAAAAAAGGGCTGCCCAGGTGGTGTCGTTGATCGAATTTGATTGATTCGATCGGTTTGCTACGTCGTTGGGAATTGGGCGAGACCAGAAAACCTTCTTCACCCATTCTGGCCTCCGCTTGCTGCCCTTTATCATGCAAAGATGTCCAACTCTGCGCCGTTTTATTTTTCGCCGGGTCTTTTGATTTTCATTCTTTTTCTTCCCAACCATATTATTAGGCACATTAGTTACATTATGGCGGGCGGGATCGGCTCCGTTTCTTTTTTGATAGCATTATTGGACCCTGCTTTTGCTGCTTGCTGCCTTCTTTGGTTTTTGGAGATCACTTCCGCTCACTTGAAACCGTTTTGACGTTGCTTGGCGGTTGTTTTGGACGACTCTGTTGACATTAATTGATCAAGAGAGGGAGAAAATAGGAGAAAGAAAGGGCATGTACTGTCCATGTGTGTTACATTTCACAGCCCCGGAGCCCTGGGAAAGTGAACACGCTCGATAATTGTCAATTTGGAGCAGAAGAAGGCACACAAGGTTCATTAGTTATTACTTAGTTAATAAGTTAATTCGACAAGTTAACATGATAGCAAAACAAAACAGACCTAGAACTATAAATACATGTAACTAACTGTCTACAGAATCTGATGTTTATAAATATTTATCCTTAAGCATCTGTTCTGTGAAATCGTAGATATTTCCCCCCCATTCCATCCCACTACAGCATTGAAATTATCTGAAATTATCTATGTCTTAGTCATGCATGCTTGATCAATGGAATGTCAAGCTGGTGTCTCTCCCAACGGTATCCCCACTAACCATCGATGCCATATTTATATGTTATGTCAAACTATACGATACACCCGCCTGCAGAGCAGAACAACCCCCACACCCGGAAATAATACGATAGTTACCCATTACTCAATACTCAATACTCAATACCGAATTCCCAATACCATCCCCGTTTTCTGGCCATATAACATTTATGAACCATCAACGCCTAACCAAGGATCCAGCCAACCAAACCCGCCCACCAGCCGCAGCCCAATCCCAAGAATCTCTCGCCGCCTTTAGCCCTCTGCTTGCTTATCCTGTCACCCGTCACATCATCGCTAGCATTGCCTTGCCATCTCTTCCCACCACCACCCCTATCCTAACCGCCGCGTTATAACTGGCTGCCCAGGAAAGCGGTGGAGGGCCTCTGCCGCCGTTCCACAGGATTCTCGCCCCCTCCCAGAAGGAAAAAAAAAGAAAACTAGGGATACAAACTACAAGACGGGGGGTGCCTAGGACTCAATGGGCTCAACTAGGCCGAGATGAAAAATCGAACGGGCTGGGAACTGTGGACTTGGACTTTCGTTTTGTGGACTGGTGAGCGGGGTCAGTGAACCCTAACTGAGGCCAATCGGGAATCGGACATAGGAGGGCGAGGGGGAGGGGGGTTATAGCAGGGGGTTCAAAGGTGAATGGGGGGGAGGGGCGCAATGGACGCGGATTGGGCTGGAGCAGCAGGCAGCCCGACTAAGTAGAGAGGAACGGGCTGGGTGAGCGTCCCACACACTTCCGAAAGGGGCAAAGGGGGGATTGGATAGGGGCTGCCACGGAGAGCGAGTGGCGCCGGGATGTGAAGGGATGCGACGAGGGGGGGATGGAGACAGCGGACAACCGCCATTGGAGGACGGTGCTTCATTTTTGCGTTTTGCCTTTCCGTCTGGCCTTTGTCCTCGTTTCTCCTCTTTCTCTCCTCTTTCTCCCTCGGATTCCCCCCCCCCCCCTATCAGTCTCGCTTCCTCTTCCTGAATAGGCATGATGGCTCCCCGGCGTGGCTATAAAAGGCTCCTCCTTTTCCTCCTCATTGTCTTCCTCTTCCTCTTCCTTATTTTCTCGTTCTTCTCTTCAGCTTCATCATCAGCTTCAGCATCTTCACCGACTTCTCCTACCGGCCCCTTCTTATTGACTCTACCCTATACCATCATCTTATACCTGCCTGCCTTCACAGCCCTCCACGACTCCCTCAGTTATACTCAACCTCTTCTGTAGTATATATCAGATACTACCCGTTGCTCGTTATACTCCCCCTCTCTGTCTTGATACCCTTTTTCTTACCAGACACCCATTGTTTGTTCCAATAGTGAAGAAGAGAAAACATCCGTCCCCCTCCCCTGCGCTGTAGTCTGTCATTTGTTACCAATTTCCAATTCCACTTCTTTTTGAGAAGACTGGATCTGTTGCCTGTTACTCCCGAGCACCAATTTTGCTCCCTTCAAGGCACTGAAGAAGCTCGAAGCAAATAGAAACAAGGGAAATTCCCCGTTTTTCGCCGAAAAGACCAAAATGGATTCCATCAGAGGCAATTACTACCAGCCCGCCTCTTCTCTCCCCATCGCCATGCCTTCAAAGGCTCCCGCGGGTGCAAATCTCTATCCCATCTCCCGTGTGGCTGGTTCGCCTCCGGAAATATCCGATGCAAGCACTACGACCGGCAGTGCGAGCGGTGAAACCTTCGATACCTCCTCCGGAGGCTATTCCGGTGTCGATGTGATGGATATGCTGAATGACCGCATGTCCAATGTTTTCGACCCCAGCCGATTGGACAAAGGGGTAGCTAAGCAGGCGAAACTGTGAGTCTTTCCCTGAATCAATTAGAGAGCAGCACTGCCGAATCTGCAAAGTGCCGCTGCTTTTGGGTTTCTTGGCCGGGCTTCATCTTGAAATCTCTGGTCTCACCAAACTAATTCCCCCTATAGCTCCGGCCATCTCAACGCCAAACAGCAAGAACTCTTGGAACTCCAAGCGCTTGCTCAGCGACGACTCAAAAATGCGCGCGCCAATTTTTCCGACGGCATTAAGGCCGCCAAGGAGACCAAACAGGATCTCGAGTGGACTCAAAAACGGGTCAGGTAAGCTGCCACATTTCCTTTTTTTTTTTGTTCCTCCCCCCACTCAATATCGCTACCTCGATCATGTGGACTCCGCTCCGCCAAGCGGAGATGCATTCCCGCCGGGCTCCGCCGTCACATCGCGTCTTGGCATTTTCAGGCAGACGCAAAATTCGAGAATTTTCGATATTTGGCATTTTTACCCCCTGCACTCGAAATTCTCGTTTTTATTGTTCCTGAGTCTAATTGCCATTGGTGTTGCAGCAATATGAGAGCGAAAGCCGAGCGGACTTTGCCAGACGAGTACCGCATCGCGACAAACAAATATGCCCATCCCGCTGGCTACTGAACTTTGTCGTAAATTTGATACCCCTATAATTCAACCCTCGCTTTAATGATTTAACGACTCATGACGGTGGCTTCTTTTGTACCTTTGTCAACAAAAAATCTCTTTCTTACAGTTTTCGTTATTTTGGAATTCGGACAGGCTGCCTGGTATATTTACTACGGATTTTAAGTCACAGCCTCGTGACTTTTGGAGAGGGAAATCTGGGCTTTCTTGATATGTATTCTGATTTTGGCTTTAGTTTCGTTTCTTTTATGGGTGGTGGAGATTTATATCGGTTTTTATACTCCCGTTTTCGAACTAGGAAATCTATTTTTATACCCGTTTTAACCCCCCTGAGCAGTCGATTCTCTTTGCTTTTTCTGCTTACGACAAATTCCTTTTCGGACCAGCCAGCCAAAGGGATCGGATAGGTGGGCGATTAGGAGCCCTACCGTTCGCTACGACGGCAGTTACAATCTGGACCGCCGCACCTGCGCGTCTGGGAACGACAGCAGCGCCCGGTAGCGCCCAGTAGCGCCCTGCAGCTGTACTGCTCCTCAAAACATTCTAGAACGAATACCACGTCACATGAGCGTCACGGGAATAGCACCAACGAAGGCCCCTCCGCGATTGATTCGCCGAAAACATTCCCCAGGGCCATATGCCGGACCTATGACTATCGTAGCAGCAATTCCGCTATCTCCACATTCCACATCACGATGAGATGTACCTTCCGAATCTCCGCCGTGAATGGTGATGTTCCCGCCCGCCACCATTTCCCCGCTCCACCCCACGTTTTCGTCCAACTCCCTTGCCGCTTTTGGGGCGCCTTTCTCCCGTCCCTTCCCCTGGCGGCCCCTGGCACTTCTAAGCGCGGACGACCCACCATGATCCACCCACCCACCAGGTACACGGGCCAGTTAGCCGTGAGTCATGCCGCTATGATATGCAGGGGCGAGGCCCAGCAACGAGATGACGTTTTTCGGCTATTGGTACAGTATTGTATTATATTCTGTATGGTATGTAAAGGATGTATGTACCCTAAACAGACCAGACCGCAACGATCTAGGGCACGTATACATGGTAGGGATAGCAGTAGTAGGCAGAGTATCTAAAGATCAGGAAGTACCTACATAAATGCACCCCCACGCTTCGTATGATTAATACCATGTACCAGGAAAAGGGGAGATGGACTGTAAAATACAATATTCGCCCAATCCATCCCAACATTTGCAAAAGATTAAAGACAAGAATTTTTGGGGACATCCTGCTATATAAAATAGGGAAATATGAAGGTCGCCTTTAAGTAGTTGACCAATGATAGATCCCTTGAGCTTGTGTGTTATGCAAATCAAGTGGATAGCACTTAACTAGCATGGATAAATTAACTCCTCCCTGAAGTTCTGTGCCTGACAATCATCACACCCTTCACAACTCATATTCATTTCACTGTTTTCTCGTACAACAACCCTAATATATTCTCAACAAGTATCTTTTCAGAGCCTTAACATTCCCGCTCAAGCTCTTCCTCAAACCTATTCCTACATCGAAGAACTCACCCTCCATTGAAGAATGCCAGAGCTCTAACTTCAAATCCCCTAATAATCCCATCTTGTAGGTATTACCACGGGACGATTCAAGGTGACCTGAGTTATCAAGGTCCTATTGGAGGTCAGTAGGAGCGCTGGATGTGTATATATAACCCTTCACCCCCCCCGAGATATATCATTTCCATTCAAAGCTGCTAACGATAGAGAAGACAACAAACAGCCCGACACTATCAAGGATTATGCTGCCCTCCTGTACGATCTCTAAAAAAATTGCTATATGAGGAATATCCTGTGAGTGATTTCCGGTTGGACACCTCTTTCACTACTCACTTCGGCACTCGCACCCAGGAGAAATTGAAAGGTTTGCTGAGGGAGCCAGCCCAGGGTGATGGAAGGCGTACGTAGTTGCGGGCTTGGAAGATTGAAGAAGAGCCTTGGAATTGAGATATATCGACGAGAGCCGAAGGTCACGAGCGAGCTGCTAGCTAAATAATAAGGGTGGAAACCCTACACCATATAGCGGATATAGAACGGATAGTTATTGTATGTACTGTACACCATGCAGCCATGCTTAACTTATGGTTCCAAATTTGGGACCCCCTTTTTTTTTGAATCATGATGAATGATTACCCATAGTTAGTACGGATTAAACTATCTGAATGTTGGTGCCACGAGACAGGGAGGGAGCCTAATTGGCTACCTATTCATGGATATCAGCTGCATAGTCATAGAAAGAGGATAAAATAATAAAATACTCCCTGACTGTTGAGATTCGTCGTCTGTAACATGTCCTATTTTGATCTCGGTGTTGTCGTCGCCTAATATAAGGCACTAAGGACTTGAGGTGGCTATTTACGTGATTTTGAGTTGTTTTGCCAACTTCATGTCGTTAGGGTTGAAGGGCTTCTCTATCTCGAATGCTTTTTTAACTTTCTCGAAAGCAGCGGTCATGGCTTCCTAGAGATAGCATCGACCAGCCTCTTGTAGCCGGAACCAGCGTCGGCGAGGTAGACAGGTATATCTTTGGAAAGAGCTCTATTAAAAGCGTTACCAAGGAGACGTGGAGCAATTCTGGCTATTATTGAATGGGGCGAACAAGATTTACGGAGGGCTTGGAATCAACAGAGACACGGGCAATTTGAGATACGATCGAAGGCGGACGGGCACCAGATGGGTAGCAGATGTTAGTCATCTTATATCCAGGGCTTTCGGCAGAAGCTCGCAGCGCACCCTATCCGCTGAACGAGATGCAAATATTTTGCAGTGCTGCGAGGACTTGAAATGTCAGGGGCACGAAACGTTATTATTGTCTCTCAATGAATTCTGGAAGAATCTGATGTCAACTGTGACGATTCTCTGAAATGTTCCAGACCAACAGTTTAGAGACATGGCTGCGGGCTATGATGCAGAGATCCACTTGTTAAAGGACATTGGAGAAGAAAAAGATCTGAGTATGTGTATTGGTGTATTGTGTGTCATAATGATGTTTCATCTGCCACATGCCTTGATATGGGTTTGATCTTCGATGCCCAAGCCATGGGTTAATGAGAGTTATTTTGTGTGTACTTGTCACAATCGCCTTTTTTTTTTTTTTTTTTTTTTTTTTTTTTTTTTTTTTGGGTGGGAAGTTTACCAAGCCACATGAAAGTAAGTGTGGTATAATCTCCTTGAAATATCTTCAAGTTGTTAAAAGACCACCTCACTATCATATTTATTATGTTTAGACCAAGAGTGATATAATGATTGATTGATTGGACTAGCAAGAGGATCTCTCGAATAGGGGAGCGCTGCAACGCCTTTCGTCAGGGGCGCAGGGGACAAGGTTATCGGAGGATGCATGCTCAGTACGTATGCTCCATTTGCGGCAATGAGCGAAAACGAGCATAAATTTAAAGTGGCTAAATTGTAGAGTGGAATAGTTCGCTAATCTACATTCCTACCCCAGGCACGTAGGGTGACTTCGCTGTCTATTTCATCCTCGCAAGGGATTCTTCCAAGGCGGAAAACTCTTTCGATACCAGAACGTCTGCTGCCGATGGCCTTTCGGCAAGGTTGACAACCAACATGAGACGAAGAACATCCCTTATCTCTGCCATTGTATCCAACAATCGTAACTCGTCCGCCAAGTATGATGGCTGTGGCTGGTCTGGTGGGGGTCATCGATCCATTGCTTGGCCACTATGAAGTCTAGTTGAAGAGTACTTTTCTTAAGGGGTGGAACCGGAGGAACATCCCAAGCGGGAAAAAGCCGCATGAGCTTCATGATACTCCCAAGGCTCAGCGAAGAAGAAAAAGGGGCAACCCGAGGTGCCCAATAAAATGGGCTTCATCCACACAAGCAACATTGCCGCAACTGCCCAGACCTGCGCGGGCTCAGCGCATGGCCGACCCTGCCAAACCTCAGGTGCTCGCATTGCGAATGGCTAGCCATGGTAACGAGAGCCAGCCTGACTGACTGCATCATTATCAGCTGAGGGTTATCTGTATTCAATCGAAACTCTGCTCACCACTGCCCAGGTCTCCCACCTTCGTAGTAATTCGGTTAGTCCCGATACCAGAAAGTAGAATGTTGGCAGGTTTAATATCTGAGCTAATCAGCAAATGCTAGCGCTTCAAAATTGGAGACCCTACCCGTATTGACCAGGGTTTTATCCTCTAGAATGGCGCAACTGTCTAAAGCTGTCCTCAGAACGGCCCCAATCAAGGCGTAGGTATGGATGTCAGGGCGGTATTCCACGTCTTGCAAAGTGGTCTCCAGCCATTCGAAGGCTACATACCGTATACTTTTAGGGTCGGTTTTGCCCATGTCCATGGAGTCGCTACTCACGTGGTACAGCTTCCGGAAGGACGCCGCCGATTTAACAGAAGCCAGGCGATATATATCACGTTCACGCTGTAGCTCGTTTAGAGAAGCTTCGTGCTCTGGAGGAGGCATTTTGATGAAAGCCCTGGTTGAGTTAGCATCAGGTTCAATGCTTAGCTAGAACATACAAACCAGCGTGGAGCGTCATCAGTTGCATCTTTCGGTATAACCTCAGCTTTATAGACTGTCGACCGGTGTGACCCATCTCCCTTAAGCGGGTCGTCGGAGATGCGGTAAGTTCCATTTGGCCCCTAAAAGTACCTGACCAGAAGCAAGTGAGGACATGGCTCGAAAACAGAATGTCTTTTTCCCCACAGCGAGAGTCGGTCTAATTAACGATCGCATCGCGTGTTCCACAGTTGTAGACGAGGTGGTGTTTATATCAATGTCCGATATTTTTACCATGATCGCGTTTACAGCAAGAACTTTGCGCCATTATTGGATTGACATCGCGCCAAGGCGGCTCAGCCGCCGCTATCAGCATCATCCAAACTCCAGAAGCCTAGACATGACAATCTACTGATGCACAAGTGCAAATACGGCAATGTGCGATGATTTTGCTTCCTTGCCTTTTTCCTTTTTTCCCCCTCTCTTTCTGACATTGGTAGGGTTTCTCTAAGTTCCCTCCTACCCTACCCGCTCAGCCTAATGTGATCTGCTCTAACTACCCCTGCCCAATGCCCCGGTGGCCGAATGGTTAATGCGGCCACCTGGTAGCGCCTTGGCGTGGGAAACCAAGGCGCGTGGGTTCGAAACCCGCAGGGGATACATTAAATCCGGAACTCAAGCACCTCAGGTTCCTAATAAATACAGAGGTGTACAAATCGCTTCAATGAATCGCTCTATGTTCCTGGGCTGGGAAGTTATTATCGCATGTATCTAATTGTCACTCCTTTGTATTTTCCTATGTTCTTGTTATCTTGGCGTGGTCTCAACACCTGTATTTCCTCCTGTATAACCAACACTTGACCTGTATTTAACATCATGCAAGGACTCATCATAAGCTCCGCTTGCATATGAGTATAATGGAAGAATAATAATAATAATAATAACCCCTGCCCAATTCCAATCTCCACTTAGTTAACCCTAATTAACTTGGTGGGTAGGTAACGATGCAATTTGTTGTTTGCAGCCTCCACTTTGAAACCAAACGGAGTTCCAACATTTCGCTTTAGCCCAATTCTTTGATAACTAAAATCAATGTAGATAGGTGGCTGATAATCAAAAGAAGTGAAAGAATATCCTGGGATTAGTTGCCCCCTTGTAGGGACAAAAAACCACATTCCTCCTCTTCTACCCTCAAATAGCCCGATCGCTCCAACACTTCGGCTCTCGGGCCTATACACACACGACTCCTTTTGAAACCATAGGATTCTTCACAGGGATGGGTAAAAGAAAGCTGAACTGTTTCCAATTTGGGCCGCATTTCTTCTGCTTTAAATCCATGTTGAACGGTCAACAAAATGCTAGAGACGACCTTAGTGGCAAACAACATCCACAACAGACAAGGTACGAGCCTGTTTGACAAACGGATCTAGGGGCGATAGGTGAAGGAAGCCCCAAGCCAACGAAGTAAGGCTACGTTATCTAAGGATGAGCAGTAAGGTCGGCCTTAAGATTGTTTCGTCTGTCGTACCCTTATCACTCGCAATTGCGCCTTGGCCGCTCGTGTGACTAATAACAAAGTGGGATATGTCCGAATGGAGGTAGAACGGAGTAGGTAGTGTAGATCCAAAAGAAAAAAGAAAAAAAAAAGAAAGAAAGAAAAGGTCATATGTAGTCAAATCTTAATATGGACTTCTAGAGTAGCGCTGCCCGACGTAAAAGAATTTCATATATATTAACACGTCATAAACCCATCATTACAGTCACGCATAATTCTGCTCCTCCATCGCCCTCGCTATCACAGAAGCAAACCGTCCCGCCCTATCAGTATCCTGCTTGGCCGTCCCAATCCCAAGAAGCACCCTCTTAATCCCAACCCCGATCTGCTCGCTCTGTGTCAATCTACGCAGTTCTGCGAGCGCACCTTCTGTCTCCTGCGGAGAGAACGCCTGCGCTTCCTTCAATATGTAAGACAGTTCAGAGAAGGTATTCACATTCGGCACGCGGATATCAGAATTAAAGGAGTTGAAGACATCAAGCTGCTTCAATATGGAGCGTTCGGTCGTTGTAGCAAGGATAAGTAAGCGACGGTCCCCGGGCGGTTTCTTTCTCAACAATACCATCACGGTCTGTAGGACCGTGTTGCTAAAGCGGGGACCAATGGGGACCCAGTCAATGATTCGCTCGATGTTATCCATCACGACGACGCTGGTGGGACTCTTGTATGCGTCCATGAATACCTTGTTCATGTGTGAGACCTTAGCGGCTTCACTATAACCAACCATATCCTCCGGGGAAATAAGTTTGACGAAGGGGAAATCTGAGTCGATGGCGATCTTGGCGGCCAGTGCTGTTTTACCGCTGCCTGGCGGTCCGTGAAGGAGGACGGAGAAGAGTGAGGTGGTTGATTGAGGATCCCGCACTTGGTTGACGAATAATTTGCCTTCGCCCAGGATGCTGTTAATTTCGGGTGAATAATTGATGATACCGCCGTGTAGACAGCTTTCGAGCTCTTCTTCGGAAACACCAAAGGCAGGTTTTACCTCGTTAAGAGCATTGTGGAAGTCTTGACGATTGACCTTCATGTTGACAATATCATCACTAATGCCAGCCATCGTGCCCACTTTTACATGTCGGTTAAATGCAAAGGAAGATGCCGACTTGACCAAACCACTTATTTCTGCTCCCGAGAAGTTCTTTGTCAGTTGGGCCAACTCAAGAAGGTCGACATCTTTATCCATTATGTCATTCTCTCTCATTTTCTGTGTATGAATTTTCAATATTTGCGCCCGTCCATTTTCGTCTGGTAGTGAAATTTCCATGTGTACCTCCAGGCGGCCCGGCCGCAGTAAAGCGTCATCGATCATGTCCATACGATTCGTCATTCCAATCAGGAGGATGTTGTTCAATTGATCAACGCCGTCGAGTTTTGACAAAAGCTGGTTGACGACACTGTCGCCAACGCCAGTTCCACCACCCGCGCCGCTGCCACGCTGTTTGCAAACCGCATCAAGTTCGTCAAAAATAATGATATGAAGCCCACTTTCGTCTCCCTTCTCCTTGTACTCTTTTTCCGCATCCGCAAACAATTTTCGAATATTCTCCTCTGACTGTCCAACGTATTTGTTCAGAACCTCAGGTCCATTAATGACTTTGGGCTCCCTGGCATTGAGCATTTTGCCGATTTGTCTAGCAATCAGAGTTTTTCCTGTTCCAGGCGGTCCGTAGAGCAAAATTCCCTTGACATGTTGAATACCTAGTTTCTCCACGAGCCCAGGAGGGAAAATCCGGGAGGCGAATGCTCTTCGGAAAATAGTGCTGAATTCCACATCCAGGCCACCGATTCCCATGTTCTCAAATTTGAAATCCGGTTGGATAATGGAGTTTGCCGCAGGTCTTCGATTGGAAGGTTTCACATTGATACCTGTCTTTGCATCTTTAAAAAAGTTGATTAGAGTAAAGGATGTTAGGATTCCTCTGGCAGTAGGATCAGATGTCGTCGGAGCTAAGGACGATTTTGCTTTCTCCGAAGCTAAGTCTCCAAGTTGAACCGTCTTAACTGTTAACAGTAGAGGAATACTTTTATCGTCCATCAAAATCTTTTGACCAGGGGCCAATATTTGGTTTTCAAAGTTCTATGTATTACGAGTCAGCAATGATAAACTTTTCCTGTTCCATCCCGTAAAAGTTTGCAGTACTAACCCGGGTAACGACTCGCGCGAGCTGATCTTGATCATAAGGCGTCTCCGTCCGCTTCTTGCCGGCGAACCCAATTTCCAGATCCATGGATGCAAGGTATGATTGCCCGCCTTGGCTGAAAATGTCATACAACCGAACGGTGACCATATCCGTCAATGCCACTTGTGCCCACGTTCTCTGTGGATCAGACATGCTAATGTGCCCTGGTGGGAAGCCTTCGAGGGGACGGGCAGAAAAGACAAACATATCGTTTATGAGAACGAGGACATCCGAACCATCGCGGGAAGGTGGAATGTCATGGGGAGATACCGCTACGCTGTAAAACAGAAAAATTGTCAGTATCCCTTACTATTTGAATGGTCCGTTCAGGCCAGGAGGAGGCAAACTCCCTGGAATGCCAACAACGTACAGATTTCCGTATGTATATGAATTATCTGGGCTCTTCGCCGGACGCAGAGACCAGACACGGTCATCCATGCCACCCCCTCCTCCTCTCGGTGGAATTCTACTAGGTCCCTGTCTAGAAGGCATGTGTTGTTGTGGCGGTCCGCGGGCCATGGGGGATCGGTCGTAGCTCCTTTTGTCATCGTAGCCGTCAGTCATCAGTGTGTCAGAATCAGAATCAGGTCGACGGAGTGGAGATGCATACCCTCCACCCAATCGAGGATCCGGCCCATAACCAGATGACTGTTGATTAGGACTATTGTAGCGGTCTCGCGGCGGGCCCGTTCTGTCCCCTCCAGGTCCGGGGCTACTGCTGCTCGAGCTAAAGGGATTGACCGAGGGAAAGTTGCTACGGTTAAACATCTTGCCTAGTGGTTGGTCGATGGCTGGTAGTTGAAAGCATAGGAATCTGGTCCTCCTTCAAGTCATATATATAGTCTTCGGTTTGATGGTGAAAGAACACCCTTTTCCTAGGTCGTGGCAATCAGTCTCTAGCTTAGGACTTCTAGGTAGGCGGGGAATTCGAGGGGTTGGTAGGCAGCTGGATAAAAGGGTATGAACAGATATCAATCATCAAACATGCAATGTGAAAAGGATATAATTAGGCATCAGCGTCAAACCGAATAATGGAGATTAGGACAGCGTATCTATGAGGAACAATAATCTAGCTGCTTGTCGTCCAAGTAAACTAGTCGTGGTTGTAGTTGGACATCTGGTTTCAGCCACGCTCCGCGCCACCTTACTAACTCTTACTGTGGCGCATCGTTTTGCTTGGCGTCATCGGGGTTGCTCCGTATGGATAGGGCAATCCACCAGACCCTTTCTCAACCTTTTATGGTCCGTATGCAAAGCTTCAAAGCAATCTATATGTAACTCTCAGAGGATGGTATTGTATGTTACCTTCGTTTATATCCCTTCTACTACAGTTGTCAGTTACATCCCGTGAGATACTAACTATCTCCCCTCTCCAGGCATCTTCTCGGCAAAAAGTCATGGAACGTCTACAACACAGACAACATCGCCCGCGTCCGGCGCGATGAAGCCGAAGCAAAGGCGCGTGACGAAGAAGAACAACGGCGTCTACAGGAAATCGATGCCGAAAAGCGTATACAGATCCTACGGGGCCTCCGCTCTCCGTCGAGATCCCCTCCACCTGTTCAAGAAGCGCCAACCGCCGCCGAACGAAAGGATAAGGAACGAGAACATCGAGAACCTCGAGATCACCGTCACCGTAAACGACGACGTATATCTGGCGAAAATGAGACAGATCGCGATATTCGATTTGCTAGAGAGGATGCGCAACGCGCAGAAACAAAGCGTGAAAATGATGTCGTCCTCGTCCGTAAACCGTCCAAGGACGATGCACCCATCATCGATGATTCGGGGCATATCAACCTATTCCCCGAGCCTGCCGCGATAGATGCTATTACCGGTAGTTCGGGGAAGAATCCCGAGGCGGAGGAGGAGGCTGCAAAGAAGAAACTCGAATATGAGGACCAATATACCATGCGGTTCTCGAATGCGGCTGGATTTAAGCAGAGCTTGGATAAGGGACCGTGGTATTCGTCGTCGGCCGTTGACATAGCGGCTAAGACGGCAGAGGATATGTTGCCAAGTAAAGATGTGTGGGGGAATGAAGACCCGCGTAGGCAGGAGAGAGAGAGGGCGAGGACTGATATGAACGATCCGTTGGCTGCGATGAAAAGGGGTGTACGTCAGTTGCGGGAGGTTGAGAAAGAAAGGAAGAAGTGGGAAGAGGAAAGAAGGAGAGAGTTAAAGGCCTTGAAGGAGGAGGAGAGGAGGGAGCGGGGGGATTCGAGTCGGCATCGTCGAGAAAGGCGGCGGCGAAGAAGGCGGGGATCGGATGGTTCGCTGGATAGTTTGGAGGGCTTTCGTTTAGATGCCGAGACACAGCCGGCAGGGAGTGGCCGTGATCGTGACCGTGAGCTCTCGAGAAACCCCCATCGGGAACGAGGGGAGCGGAGTCAGGAAGAGCGTTCAAAACATTCCCGGGCCTACGGCAATAGTCATTCTCATAGAAGCTCCAGAGACCAGGATAAGGACCGGGCCAAACGCTCTTCCAGTGATGACCGGCTGTCTAGTTGGGCGCCGGCACCTGGGAAACGTTATAGTGCCCAATTTGCCGATGTTTAATTTGCCAATTTGAGCTATGAAAACTTTTAATGGCAGCTATGAATAATGACCCCTTTTTATTTCTTTGACCAACCCAACCCTCTCTATTTGATATACCCAAATTAAATATGCACAATCATCAACCCAAACCCCAAACGTAAACTATCTGGTATTTGAAAAATGTCACCAGAGTAATAGCTTATTGCAGTGACCACTCCTGCCGTCCGGTTTCGACACCCTCGATATCCCAGTCAATCCCAATATCCAAGAGCCGTGATTTATCATCCTTCTTCCTATACTCCACGTGTCCCTGAATAACCTGTCCCTTCCTCAACGGTTTGGCAGCCTTCTTCCCGCGGTTTATCAAAAACACCCCTTGTTGCCAATGAGTCTCCGGATCGAATGGACCCGTCGAGAACGCGACATATCCTTCCTTCTTCATATCGCCCGGCAGCGCATCTTCAGCTACCTTCGATGTCCTAGATGGCATAAAAAACATATCAAACCACACTGCCCAGCCGTCCAACGCATCGATGTCCGTGTTAAGCGTAACTTCGAATTCTTTGATGAACGTTAGCTCCTCGACAGTTATGGTGTGTAACGGCAACTGCAGGAACGGTGATGCTTTGGCAACGATGGTTTCTTCTGCTTTCTGGATGTATCGAACAAGTGCCTCATCGTATATGTTGAGAAGCATGCTGGACATTTTGAACCCGTAGATAGAGTTCCAGAAGGTTATGTGCGAGTCCACGAGATCTGGATCAGCCAAGGGCGCGATTTGGAGCGTGGCATGGGAGGGAACCATCAACCCGTCCGGTGCGAGATAGCGGTCTCGGGCCCAGATTACTGAGTCGAACATTGCTTCGAAAAGGAGGCAGTATCCCATCCATTCAGAAACAATGATATCGACTTGGGGTACTGGTAGTTCCACTTCTTCGATTTTTCCGCGGATACATCTAGTAATTTTTTAGTTGAATGGATTATAGTACCTTTGGTAGTTTAGGATGTAGATAGAGCGCCTACTTAATCACATCCCCAAACCCGTTGTCATAGACGATTTCGCGCGCCCGATCAATGATATCTGAATTGTCAACAGCAATGACCATTTTCGCCCCGGCTTTTGCGCAGAACATGGACAGAATACCTAGGCACAGTAAGTCGTGAGGATATGGATATAATAATGGGCTCAATAATCATACCCGTTCCGCACCCAACATCAAGTACAACCTTGTCCTTGAACAAACTCTTGTTATCATATATGAAATCCCTATAGGCATCTGTACGGACAGTGTCCTTGAGCATGGACTCATGTATACCTAGACAATGAGAAGTTAGTGAACGTGCCATCTTTTCTTATTTTCGCTGTCCATTGGGAGGCTGATAAAGAATTATAATCGCAATTCGCACCATTATACGAGTAGGAGGTGAAATATCCCGACTCCGCTTCATGGAATTTACCAGAGCCCGAAGCTACAGGCTTTTCAGATACGCTTGAAACCGCGCTGCTTAATTCCTTGTCCAAGGACCTCTTAACAATCGCCTTGTACTCCTCAAAATTGCTTCGCATTCGTTCCAACTCGTCTTCTAGTTTTCGAATTCGAGATGTTGGATCTGATGCTTCTGCCTCCTTCGATCGGGGCCCATCCTTTCCTCCCGCCTTTTGATCCAGGTCCGATTCCTCAGCCAAATCATCCAAGCTGTATAGAAGCGTGTCATCCTCCAGTACCGGTCTCAAGTATCGCTCGTCATCGAACAGGGCCGCGGAGGATACGTCAGGGGTCTTCCCAGCCTTGACTTCTGAGCGAATATAGTTGACAAGCCTAATAGTGCCGAGAAAATCGAGGCCTGTATGGAACGAGACGAATAAAAAGAGAGGCATAAAAGTCAGCTAGAGGCTTCCCACCATCGAAATCGAACGGCGGCAATATAACTTCCCCACCACGTTGCGCAATTGAAATTTATTGGACCGGTTTTAGTTTCTACACACCAAGATCCTTCTGAACCTTCAAAAAGTCGAAGTGAAAGTTTTCCTTGCAATCATTGAGCATTGACCGGGCGTCTGGGAAGACCTTGTCGCTAAACAAACTTATGACGGGCTCAGACTCTTCGTCCAGTTCAACATCTTCCCATCCCTCATCTTTGGATAGGTCTAGAGGATCAGAGCTACTGTCACTATCGGAATATGAATCTTCATGGACAGCAGGTGGGGCTTGTTGAGAAGAGGAAGCCATTGTTGTGCAATAAATAAATATCTAAGATAAGGGCAGATGTATCCCGAGAAAAAAAAATGATGTGGTGTGTTAGGTAATGTTTTTTTCTTCTCTTCTGCTTCGCACACCCTTCTTTGTCGGCGGGGCAAGATGCTGGGCGATTTCTAGCGGGAATGATCCAGAACTTGTCTATTTAACTATAATAACCACCCGAACCAGCACTCTGTGCCTGGCTTCGAGCTCCAGCAGAAAATTCACGCAAGCAAGGATACAAAGGAAAGATGTCAGATATTATGGAGTTAGACGATATTAATCTAGTTGAGATCAATTTTAGATATCAACTGTTTACCCCTGCTGATTGGCCCGGTGATATTCCTCACTTGTTCGAGGACCGCATAGGTCTCTAGAAAGGTCGTGGGCTGGATATCCACAGCATCGGGAAGAAGTTTCTTGAAGCTGAATATAACCTATTCATGGAGTCTTAGAGTACATTCTGAGTATGGGGATGATCGACCTACACAGCTATATACAGAAGTGCAGATGAAAGGTCTTCTTCTAGATATCCACGAGATTTTTTACAGCGTGATAGGCACACAGGCACATGTCTCCTGCACTGGGTGGATTTCATTTCATTCGCTATCATTTCTCTTCCTCAATACCCCTGCTCGAGGAAATAATGGCAAGACATGAGCCCCTTTTGTTGATCTTTCAACTCTGGAATTAGAGCGGAATCAAACATCGTCTATGCCGTTTCCGTTTCTCTATCGTCTCTCATGAGCTCATGAGAGAATTGATTGGTTGGAAGGAAAGCCTTCATCCTTTGCCTTAGCAAAATATGCTGGCCTCCTTCGTCTCAATCAGGTTCTCCCTGTTCACGCATGCATTGTCATTGTCTCGATAATTCTTGATGAAACTGCACTAAACAACGCCATTGCCCGCTCAACTCCGCGGTCAACCAGTGTTGAATCAACTACTCCGTACAAAGTCCCAACCTGATTTCTATATAGGCGCCATCTCCCCTGAATACTTTAAACAAGCTTTCAAACACACATAGGTTTACAATCATGGATAGACAAACATTGCAATATTTGTATAACTATCTACTGTAATGAGACTGAAAATATTTCTCATACTATCTATAACAAGTTATTAATTATTTTCTAGCTGGTTGTAGAATAGTGATATTGCAGGCCGCCAGAACTGCATGTATCATTGCGTATAAAGACTGATCAATACACTTATCAAATCTATAGAGTACACCGTACAGAGTAGTTATAGAAGTATCACTGTACAGCGCACATATGTTGCTAATACTAGTGTCTTGGCGCGTAACGAGCGCCAGATACCCCACCAATTGGTAGTTATGTAGTTACATGTACATGTACATTACGTAGTACATGTCCTGTACTGTACCATGCTTGTTTGGATCAGGTCGCAGACCCTAACAACGCTATTTCCCTCCCCATGGCTCTGTCCTCTCAAACACATGTCGCATATCTCGACGATCCTCTACTTAATCCAAACCTCCAATGCTTCATGCCTGGAGTATTGCCTGCCATTACAGGAGTGTAACCCAGCACTGTACCTCTTGGCGCTCTATTTAAATTTTGGCAGCCTCCCATTGAGGGCAATATATATATGGTTTTCTTTTCACAGACCTCCCCGACACCAATAGCAGTCTTGCTGAGTGATCGATGGCATTCCTATTTAACCGCGCGAGGCCACGACAACCTGCTGAGGTCGCGCGGTCAATAAAGGACCTCGTCGTGCGCTTGTGGGACAACTCGAATGGCGGCTTAAAGGTTTGTTACATTTTTTTCTCCAAATAAAACTGCTGGAAATCCTGCTAATGGGAGAGGAGAATTAGGTGGAGGATGATCTAGCCAAGCAATTGGCTCACATGAAATTGATTGTTCAAGGGACACAGGGTTGGTAAATCTTGATAATAAATCGCCCCTCGCCCAAAAAATTCATGCTCACGATCCCGCTGTGAAGAAGTCGATATCCTCCCTGAGCAGGTACATCAATTGGTACAAGCAGCCATTCAAGAAGACCTACTCTACGAACTAGCCCGAAGTATCCGCCATCTACCATTCGAGGCAAGAAAAGATACGCAGACCATCTTCTCTCACATCCTCCGTTTCAGACCTGCCAATGCGAACTCCGCGGATCCCCCCGTCGTATCTTATATTGTCCATAACCGACCGGAGATCATAACTGAGCTATGTTGGGGCTATGAAAATCATCGAAGTGCCATGCCCTGTGGATCTATACTGCGTGAGGCTCTAAAGTTCGAGGTCATCGCGGCTATTATACTCTACGATGAGTCGGCCAGAGATGAGCCTACCATCCGAATTAACGAGGTCGATCCTGGTGCGAAACAAACGGGAGAAGGGCTCCTTTGGAATTTTTTTCAATGGATCAACCGCGGCAGTTTTGAAGTCAGCGCTGATGCGTTTACTACATTTCGGGTAAGTGGTGACTGCGTCTAGTCCCTTGCTCGCTGTTTGTTTCCCATCTCTTTCATTCACACTGCTTTTAGGATGTTCTTACGAAACATAAAGGCTTGGTGTCACAATACTTGTTATCCAACTTTGAACTGTTCTTCAGCAAATATAATAGTATTCTCGTCCAGTCAGACTCGTACGTGACAAAGCGACAAAGTATTAAGCTGTTAGGCGAAATCCTCCTAGACCGGACGAATTATAACATCATGACGAAATATGTTGACCGCGGAGATCACCTCAAGCTGTGCATGAATCTGTTACGAGATGATCGTAAAATGGTTCAATATGAAGGTTTTCATATTTTCAAGGTTCGACTACCCAGTCAGGCCAACTCAGCCGGAGTTCTTTGCTTCTTAATTTCGCCTTCCTCAGTTTCTACCCATGATAACCAACAAATTTTCTGACAAATGATTTATCTAGGTCTTTGTCGCAAACCCGAACAAATCTGTTGCCGTCCAGAGAATCTTAATCAACAACCGAGACCGCCTGTTAAAGTTCCTCCCTAAGTTCTTGGAGGACAGGACGGATGATGATCAGTTCACGGATGAAAAAAGTTTCCTCGTCCGCCAGATTGAGATTCTGCCACCGGAACCCACTGAACCTAGGCAAGGACAGGGTGTCAATAATAATAATAATAGTAATAATTTGAATGGATCTGGATCTGGAAGAGGTACCGCCGCGGAGGCTTAAAAATATATATTTTAAGTTCCTGCGCTGCGGCGCTGTGGTGATGCCGTGCACAATTTCGCTGCCAACCATTGTTTCTTCCCCCTTTCAACGGTTTCCATTTGTTTTATTTTCTTTGCTCCCAACATGTCGGGTATACATAGCCACGGGAACATCTAGATATCCCCTTCCCTTCACCTACGACAACTCCCTCTCATGTGCACGTGCTTCCTCTATTTTAGCAACATACTTTTTCTTTTTTCCCAGGCCATTATTCGTTTCGAAGAAGTAGTAGGAGGGAGGTAGGTGGTAATGGTAGACGGAGTTTTGGGCGGGAATTGATTTTTGAATACCACGGAATAAATGGGTGTTGTTTGGTTCACTAGATAGTTTCTATATATAAGTAGTTTACTATAGCCTGTCATCAGGAGAACAAAGCCAATGCCTGTATGTAACAATTTATTAATAACAGAGTTCTAGGGTACCAAGCTTCCAAGCTTCTAGGGTCAAGATTAGCCCTGGAGAACATCGCGCTTATGCATATCGAGTTTAGTTTATCGCGGAAGCTTGTATCACGTGGCAATAGGGGTGATTAGCTAAGCGGCATCGCGGGTGCGGCTGGCGCCCGCTTGTTGTTTCGTGGGTCCAACCCAACCGCCGCAGAGATACGCAGCGGCGTACACGCCAGCCGCGCCGCCCCTTTTTTGGCTGCTGCTTTGACCACGCCTGCACTAAATCCTTTGCCGCCGTTACTTGGTCCGAGGCCAACGCCTGTTGATCAATGGCACCAGCTGGTTTTTTTTTCCCTCTGCTCCTCGCTGAACGGAATCCTTCTCTAAAATTTGATTTTAATTTCTAATGCGTGGGATACCGCCGCCATATCCTTGCTGTCCTTCCCCATCTCCATAGGCAATTGACATCTCCCCCGGACTAACAATTTGTACCACGACGGTTGTTGATTCACCTTCCTTGCACCTCGCCCCTCATATCACAGCAGTCGTGACTTGGATCAACATTCCCACTCTGGGTTTCTCACCCTGGATCCTCTCTATACACATATCCAAACGCTAGACATCGGCTTCAAAGTCATGGGAGATCTCGCGACTAAAATGGCCTCCCCCGCAAAACCCCCCACAAGCTCGAGTACAAAGGTTGGAGCTCCTGACCCAATCCACACCGAAAATGCTACTGCTATTGCTGTCCCCCTGTCTTCACCGCCACCCATCCCGTCCCCCTGTTCTCCCTCCTTTCCCCATTCTCGAGCCTCTAGCCTACGAATCGAATCGCTAGGTGGAGACCCCAAGGAGCCATCAGCTCCCTCCCCGGAGCTCCCTTCGTCTCCTATGAAACCAATTCACCGCGTGGAGAGCGAGAGGTGGGATTCCGGTCAGGCTCTATCAAGAAGAAACAGCAGAACAACTCTAGCTACAGACGAACTCTCTGCTCCAAGCTTGAAATCGCCCCCCAGCATTCCAAGCATCATCATAGATGAAGAGCACGCCCGTCCTAGCTCGCGACGATCAGAGCGGAAATGGAGCCCGCTCAAAAAAAGGAAGCCAGATCCTCTTCCCGCCGTACCACCACTTCCACCCGTTGAGTCTGTACCGTTTCGTGGAATTACGCTGGACATCCCAACTGGTTCCATTGGCGACCTGACCACAGATCCCTTAGAATCAATTGCTGAAAGCCCACAGAATAATACCGAACCTGCTTCTGAGACGGATGTTGATGGGAACCAGACGAAGGAAAACATGCAGAGTAAAGAGAATCTCCCTAGCGGCGGGGGAAATAATGGTAATGCTACACTCGACGTTCACAACAAATCCACGACTACCACATCGCTAAGTTCGAGGCGTATAAGATCATATAATTCTCTACGCCCCCGTCCAATCAGCTGTATGACTCGAGCCATGTCAATCGATGAGGAAGTCCTGTCACAGAAGGTTCGTTTGATGTATGAGAGGGGGGATGAAGACGTCGACGATGCAGAGGTTAATGAGCTGTTGGGCTTGTATGAAGAGGAGTCTATGCTAGATGAACCATGCGCGGTTGCTTTTCCAGCCTCGAGTGACGGGGTTGAAGTAGAACGAGCAAACACGCCTACTACCTCAGTTGCGGGGCGCGGTTCGAGAAGAGGAAGCTTCATCCAAAGGGAGCCATATGAGCTTGCTGGTGGGTTAGAGGACTGGGAAAATGTCGATGTCGGCGATGTTGACAGATATGGTTTCATTATCCCCCGACAAAAAGACAGCGATGCTTCAGATCCAGCCCCTCCAGCTCTGCAAAGGGTCTCAACGAGCTTATTACTTGCATCCACAACTCCACGTAGGAAGCGTACCTTACGGAGGGAGACTTCTGTGGCACCTAGTTCCCGGTCGTTTGCTGGCCGTTCCCCGCCCAGGAAATCTACAGATCAATCGCGGCCCACATCTTCCCAGAGCTCCTATCAAGCAAGCAGTCGCAGATCAACTTCAAGAATACGATATGCTGCAAACAAGCTACCCTATAACAAAAATCGAAAATTCATGGATGAAGCTAGTGACATGCTAACTCTGCCGGGCCAAGTCATGGAGGATGATGATACCAGCCCGCGTGCGCTCGCAATGAAGAAGAAGGAATGGGAGCGAGAAGATAAATGGAGAAAGATGGCAAAGGTGGTGTCTAAACCCCAGGATGGTGCTAGTATGACATTCGAATTCGACGTGAAGAGCTCGAAACTTATTGAACGGACCTGGAAAGGAATACCTGACAGGTGGCGATCAACCGCTTGGTATGCGTTTCTAAGTGCCAGTGCAAGGAAACGGAAAGACAGCCCGACGGAGACAGAACTCATCCAGAAATTCAACCAGCTCCAAGATGAAGCCTCCCCAGATGACGTACAGATCGATATCGATGTTCCACGGACAATTAGCAGCCATATTATGTTTCGTCGCCGTTATCGAGGTGGCCAGAGGCTTCTCTTCCGAGTTCTCCATGCCATGTCCCTTTACTTTCCAGACACAGGATATGTCCAGGGTATGGCTGCACTTGCTGCGACCCTTCTTGCTTACTACGACGAAGAGCATGCGTTTGTAATGCTAGTGAGGTTGTGGCAACTTAGGGGTTTGGATCGTCTGTATCGGTCGGGTTTTTCGGGTTTGATGGAAGCACTAGCCAATTTTGAAACGGGATGGCTTGAAGGAGGGGAAGTTGCTGAAAAACTGGTATGTTTACCCCTTTTTGTTCTCTCTCTGTTATAGCCACCCACTGCTAACACCAGTTCTATCCAGACCGAACTCGGAATCCCCCCAACAGCGTACGGCACCCGATGGTACCTAACTTTGTTCAACTACTCAATTCCCTTCCCCGCACAACTCCGCGTCTGGGACGTTTTCATGCTCCTCGGAGACTCAGATGAACCCTCTTTATCCGCCTCCGCCTCTAGACCCCCAACAAGTTCTCGTACTGGCACTGGCACTGCAAACGGCAACTCTGAATCAGATCCACTAGCATTATCAGCCCCATCGCCATCGCAACCCCACGCAAGCCCTTTCGGCAAAAGCCTCGATGTCCTCCATGCCACCTCCGCCGCCCTCATAGATGGAATGCGCGATATCATCCTAGAATCCGACTTCGAGAACGCCATGAAAGTACTGACGAGCTGGGTCCCCATTAAGGATGTAGAAATTTTCATGCGGGTTGCGAGAGCTGAGTACAAGGTTCATCATCGGAAGAAGGGTTGATATATGGTTATTTGTACACGGGCGCGAAATCTGGGCTCTCGGAGACATAAGGCGCTCGATGAGTACCGGCCCGTCGCCGCCTTGTCCTAACTTCAACATCTCCATGCCGTTGGACACCCTATGTCGCCAACTCAACATCAAACGGATTCCGTTTCGTCGCCATTGTGCCTCTTCGTGCACCGCAGTGGCATGAAAGGAGTCATCCAAAACTTACAACTGACACTCGCTTCCCTTTTGTTTTTCTTTTTCTCTTCTTTTCAACATCTTTACTACTCGACTTTTCTAATTTTCCTTCTCCTTTGTCTAAACCATTCCATTCTTTACGCATCCACATAGGTTTTTTTTTTTTTTTTTTTTTTTTTTTTTTTTTTTTTTTTTTTTTTTTTTTTTTTCCCTTTCTTTCCGCCCATAATGCCCTGCTCTCCAACCTCAGAACCCCCTTCTTTCATAATCATCTTTCATTTTACTTTCATTTTTATTCATCTGAATTGTTAATTCACCATAATTATAATGTTTTAATGTTTCTGGGATGGAAAGAAAGAGAAGGAAGATTTCTTCTTTTCTTTGTCATACTTTCTTTATTTCTATTTTGAATTTTCGTAATTCGGTTTCTCTTTCTCGCCTTTTCGTTTTTATTAAATTTCTTTCCTTCCTTTTTTCGATATGAGAGTATCTAGATACCCCCTCTGTTTTCTCTGTGTGTGTGTATGTGTGTGTTTCATTTTTCAGGATATTTGGGTTTTTTTCTCCTACTTTT